CATTTTATTGATTATGAACGATTACAAGCCCATCCACTAGTTAAGACAAGGACGTTACTGAAATTAGTATTTCCCATAAACGAAGGGTTTCGCTAAGTATTCACTGAGGCTATTTTTTAAAGAACTTGGATTGGGCTCTGGTAAAACCACAGACTACTTAATGGTATACAGGTAATAAAATGAGCTCAAGCATCGTAATCGATTACTTATGCGATTTGTTTGCTTTCACCCATCGGAGTGGAATCGTGTTATAACGACCCGTTAAACCACATACGTATACATAATGTTTGTATTCGAAAGCCAAGGGAGCTGGTGACATTCCTGCCTTTTTATAGTCGTTGGTAATGCGCGTGACAAGCTTTGAAAAGTGTATGTATAATACATAAAATATCGAATTTTTTAATGTTATAATTACTTGCAGACAGGAAATATATCAAATATGCATGTTGGAGCATTAGTTACATTATTAAAATATTGATAGAATAGGTTGTGGCCAAGTTGTTACCTGAAAATTATTTAACAGGTTTTTTATTCCTTCGTCGATTAAATGTTAACCTTACCTTTATTTACTTTATCTACACATCAAAAATGTCTAGGGATCAAATAAAGGTTTTCAATGTTAACAGTCTATATTTACCAAATCTAGTGTTCTAGATTAGCCTTTACTAAAACCCCTTTGTATTAGATAAGAACTTATCCCTTCATTCCAGAAAAAAATGCATTTTTTGTGAATTGTGTTCAATTTTTGACAATTTCATAGGTACTTGATCCCTAGACAATTTTGATGACTATAATTTCCTTAATTGCGTCAATTAATATTCAGATCGTTTTGATAAAGAAATAATGAATTTTATTTTTTTAAAGTTCGTAAGGACTAGGAAAATATTATTCTTAACGACCTTGTTTTACATAGAATTATGTTCGATGATCGCGTAAATTATTTAACTGGAACATTAACAAAATAAAAAGTCGAAGAACCGGTAAAGCATTTCTGGGTGCCAAGTCGTATCTTCCACTTTATTAAAACCAGTAATTACAGTAAAAATTACATCGCTCTTACAAAATATATATCTTTCTTGCATATTCAGGTCAGGTGCAACTAGTTCTACTAAAGTAAATTATTGCTTAAAAATGGGATAACACACTTGAACTTTGTTGATTTTTAATGCAGCTCTGAAACTATCGATTCAGTACCAATGTCCTTAGATCAATCCTATGCCTTCTTCATTGTAATTCGCTTGCTGTCTGCAAGATACAGTTAAATCTCAGTCACCCGAAAAGTTTGCAGTGCAAAAAGTTTCGACGACTTCAATTCACGCTTGAGTGACTTCGTTGTATTGTATAGGTACTGCAAACCCCTGCGATAGGAAACGTCAATAGGTCGCCACTCGGACCGGCAGATTGCTTCCCCTTCCCGTTGTCGGATGGATCCCAAATCATTGTGTGCTCAAAACAATCCGCCTAATGTCTGAGTCACCAACTCTTCAGAAGTTGTGTGAAAGCTTATAGCAATCATCTCGTGGTCTACTCCAAACGTCCGCCCGTATATTCGAACTCTATTAAAATATTATTTTAGATGTTACTTAAGAATGTTCTGTCAATTGTTAATTTTGGTGTAAGTAATTATAATAATAATCAGTAAAAACAAGTAGTTGCTCCTAAATAAGAAAAAGATGAAGGAACAAAATATACTACATAACCTTGCAGTAAGCTCTGCAAGGTTTGTGTTGCATAAATAATTACCAACATTTGGGGCTAGGCTAATTGGTGTGAATGTTAGAAATATTTATTAGAAACATTTATTATTGGTTATCATCCTACAATCCCACCTGAGTCATAGTACCTATCATTCTATAGGAAATGTCCGCTATCATAAATTGCCTTTTTCGAATCATAAACAATTTATATTAGTAACCCCCCCGTTGTAAATCAAATACTCATCTTTATTTTGGTTTATATTCGCTTCAGACGTTGACTATTTGTAGGCTTTTGCTAATTTATGTGCGTGGGTAGGTAGATGTCGGGAGATCAAAACGTCGAGATGCAAGACTTCCTTGTAAGTTAGCAATACACACAAGTTCATGGACCCAGTGACATTTAGGATGCTATTTCAGTGACTTTGCGGATCTCCCGTTTCGTTTATTCCCCTTCATTTGGATACGCAATGACTGGACAGAGCCCATTTTGGCCTTTTTGTGGCGAAGTCTGTTATAACCGCCTATTTCCTGCTTCATAACCGAATGCGATATCAGTTTAACTAAACACATGGCAAGTCGAATTAGGAATCATGCTTTGGTAAGATGACAGCATATATTTTATTTTTTTGCAGTTGACTTTATTAATAAATTTCTAATTTAATTTTAACCGTCTTCTTCTTGATATTAGTCACTTTATTGTTAATGAGAACCTGGATTATATGAAGTTCATTTCTTACTTACCTCTTGTTGTATCTGTTACTGTGTTTTTATTCTATGATGAGGTCAAAAATGACCTATTATTCTGGATGTAGCTTAGAAATGAAAACACACATCAAATAAGTTTAAGCAACATGCATCATGTACGACAGCTACAAGTTTTATCATAACAGTTTATATTTTATACTATCGTAGTTAATGTTTAATATATTCAAATGCTTTTTTCTTTAGTCACTAATAAACCAAATTGGTTATTAATTATTATTTAGAAAAGAATAAAGATGAGTATAAAAATTTCTAAAAAGTTCATTTTCAAGGCGCTTTTGATGAGTATATTTAAGTTTTATAATTATGCCCTGTTGATTACGGTAATATCAAATATTTCAAACAACACAGTTTTCAGGTCCACTGTAGTTTTATATATAATTAATTAACTTAAGGATATAATTATTGTCATGATATTCTAAAACTTAGACAATAGATTGTCCCATATGATTTTCCCTATCATGCTCTGCTGAAGGATAAAATTAGTTTTATGTTTAGAACGGCATTCAAAAATTAAGCCCAACTTGCACTTTATTGCTTTGAAAAATGATTTTGAGTCTGAAATAGATTCGTTTATAATTTACGAACTTCGTTTATGGCAGTCTGTTATTACCACACGAACTAATTTTATTCGCTCAGCGTCTGCAAATAAAGTCATAAAACTTTATTGAGACTTGCCTCTCTTTGATGAACAAAACGTTTGAACATTTGAACGGAAATCTATTTTCGTCACTTTTGCATAAAGCAATTGCATTGAAATAGCTAAGACATCTGCACTGATAAAACTTATCTGTAGTGTTTCCTGCATTTGAATTCAAAGCATCGAACATTTTCTGTTTAAATCCGGAATTATACGATGTTGTCGGATAAGAATATAATAACAGCTAGTTATTATACCAAAATATAACCATTTGTTTATATACTACTCCAGAAATCCTATTCAAGTTTCCTGCAATCATAATATGTAATTATTTATAATGATCATAGGTTGCTTATATTATATTTAGTAAAGACTCCATTTAGGCGTTTTATATGAGTTTAAATTCTCACTTAAAAAAATATTTAGGACAGGATTTATTAAGATTCAAAACTTATCACCATTTCAGCAGTTCATTTGGTCTGAGACATAATTTAACTATTTTTAGTTGCGGTTGACTGCGCCCACAGAAATAAATACGACCTTTCTTTTAATTATATCAACCCTTAAAGGCTTACTTGCAGGAAATTTACTAAATCTCGATTCAACTAAAACTAGATTTTACCCATTGAGAAATTTCAATGTCAATTTGACATTATTGTATGGGCTAAATTTAGTTTTAGATAAATCGAGATTTAGCAGAATTGCTGCCAGTTCACCTAGATTGTAAAACGATTAAAATAAAATTATTTATTTTTAAAATTAGACTATGTATTTTGTGACTTTTATGATGATAAAATTACTGAAAATCTAACATTGTCAAATATCTCAGTAGTTCGTTTTTGAGTATTCCTCAAAATGACCTTATTCCCCAAGGTCCTAACACTTTTCTGGAGTAAAATTTGTATTTTCTTTAGATAAAAACTCCATGTATAAATCTGGACAAAACACTGTGTCCCACCCAAATTGGTCCCAAAATTTCATTCAATTCCATACTTTCGTTTTTGCATAACTGTCTAACAAACAAGCTACATAATTAAAATAATACAACACCTAAGTATAATGAGTATAAATCGAGCAAATTTTTACTTACATATGAAATGGTATCACAGTACTTAATAAATAGTTGTAAACACTCCTAATTTTATGAGTTCTTACTGTCTGTATGTTCGGTACTCGTTTCAATATCGACGATCCGTTTCAACGCTGTCATCCAAACAAACTTCACAACATAAATAAGTAGAGTACCAATAATACCGTTAAAAATAGTGTTGTTTACTTGAAACTGCATCCATCCAGGTCACTCCTGCATGTCAGCCGGTTACTGGGCTAATGTGTACCGTAATAAGTCGTAAACTTGGTTTGATGCCAGCGGGCACATTTAGAACTATTGTAGTTTTAGTTGCATCACAGTTGATGTCGTGTTAGCAAATACCTGGTAATGGCTTTGAAGGCATTGGACCTTGTCACTTTTCACTTTTGGTAGCAAAGGTCGTGAAACTTTTATTGAACAATCATTTACTTATATAAAATCTACCCAATAGTGTTGTAACAAAGTCTAGAATATTTTAAACGATACTGTTATATCTTACCAATCTTAGTCGAAATGTTTTAATGTTTCGAGCTAACCTTGAATAAGTATTATTTGTGATTCGGTACATTGTTATTCCATTTTAATTGCCAATTACCTTATAGTAGCCTATATTTCTTTTTACCATTCCACATCACCAATATCCATAGAAAATTTGTATACTTCCTCTTTCTTGAAATCAGTCAAATTCTTTCCGTGTTAAAAGGGGTTTATATTCTCTTCTTCTGTTCTGTTAAGTTCTTTCCGTGAATCATGACGTGAATATCAACTCGTGATAATGTACCTATCTCAAGCCTGAAATGTTTGTTTGCAGCTGTGTCAGCAAGATGGTCGGCGTTACGAGTGGCAGCTACGAGACGTGGTGGGGCCCGAAGGTTGCGTCGCGAGATTGCGGCCCTCCACGGTGCCCTGGAAGAGATATGCGAACCTGGGGATTGTGCACCTCAGCCACACACAAAGGCTCAGCTCAACCGTAGAATCGAGGAGTTAAAGGTACATTTAACACTACACATGTGTTCATATCAAGGTGACTTTCAATTATAGTGACGCGATGACTGTTGTAAATTGCATGCGCTAATTGAACGTGAAAACTGTTTCACATTGCATTTTTATAAAAGATGTTTGAAGGCAACGTTGATTTAAGAAGTAACTGAGTCTGATTAGTAAGAAACAAAAAAAAACAAACCAAACTAAAATGATGTCGCAATATTAGTAAATATTACTAACGATGAATGTACAAAATCAACAACTCGTACGATAACAAGCTATTTAAACATCTTATATAAATCTACACCAATAAATCAGAGCTTAGACCAAAATACTTTTTTTTACAGGATCGCTTATCTCGTCTTCTGGAGTGCAAAGTTTCGATGCTTAAGCTGACTGTGTCTGTCCGCCGGACCCTGGGCGAGATGGAATCCGACGATACTGGCTTGGCAGCTGACTTAACCTCTCTCCTTGCCGCTTGGGATGATGCGCATCAACGGTGAGAAAATTAATATATAATTTCTGTGATGATACAGGCCCTTTATGCCTTTATTTGGAATAATTATTAATAAAACGGATTAATAACACTTTTTATCCGATTTCAGCACATCCAGCGAGTTACTTTCTTTAGAGAAGGCAGTTTGTGCCTGGGCTGATTGGGAAAATGCCCTGCGTGACCTCCAAGGAGCCTTGAGAGGTGACTTGGCAACATTAGAAGCGTTGCGAGACAAGGGAAACATTGTTGGAGATCAAACTGAAGTCGCAGCTCAGATACGACAGCTTGCAGCTTCTTTGGTGGATAAGAAAAAAGTAAATTCATACAAATACTCTTTGAAATCAAAATGTTACCTTCTCCTTGAAGGAAGAAATCATATCAACTTTTTGTATTAATAAACTAAATTATCATATTTACTTACAGGGCAGCTCAACTTGTGATTCGTTGTCCGATTCGGGTATATCTGATGGTGACAGTGAAGGAGCAGGTGGCCGTGCAAGAAGGCTTAGTGCTTTGAGAGAACTAGCGCGTCGCCTGCAAGCGGCTCTAGCTCCCAATTCTCCGGCACATAGGGCTATAACAAAGGTAATTATATCAAGAACGTAGATAATATTTTTCATGAATATTCATTCATAAAAAAACGATTACTTCCTGCCTACGTACTTATACTAGAGCTACTATATCTACGGGGCATAGAACTATTAATATTATACAATTTGCTCTGAAACTAAGATATACGTTTTATATTTTGTTTACAGCGTATGGAGCAAACGGAAAATGAGGTGCGCATATTGCAGGAGTCTTGCCGAGCTCTGGTCGAGCAAAGCATCCCAGACTTGAAGATAGATGATGAATCGTAAGTTTTATGTTACCATTTTATCTGTCTTGTAAATGACTCTAGATAAATTTAAAATAAATTCCTTCATCGGTTACTTGTTGAAATGTTCCTAAGAAAACTGTTATAACTTTTCCCTCTTTGTTTTTGTTTCCAGCAGAGACCTTACCATAAGCGCTGTTCATGCCAACAAAACCGGGTCTGGTGATCCCGATTACAACCCTCGTGGTGGATGGATTTGGCGTGTTCTTCGTTCCTCGCTTCCCATACAATTGTGTTTAGTAGCGCTGCTTTTAGCAGCTTGGTTAGTGGAACGTCCTCGTTGCTGCGACGCCCTAAACTCCCTGGCTCAGACCCTGACTCCCCAATTACGCTACGTACGAGGACCCCCACCTGTCTGAATAAACACTATTGTGTTTTGTCAATGTGATTCATAGCTACATGACTAGCTATTTGTGCTCAAACTTGCCGCATAGACTTCAGGCAAGCATTTGAGCAAATAATGTTAGCACTGACGATGCTATGGTTGTGATCTATGTTTGATGCATATCGGCGTTATTCCGACTAGAAATGACATGAAATGGGCTGATGTAAGCCCTATTGCTTTTTAAGATAGCACACGAAAGTGTTACGGAAATTTTGAAGTATAGTGAACTATACATGGATGTTTGCGTTATGCAATAATTCTGTAAAAATACTTACTTTTGATTTAACTAGAGAAAGTTTGGTGTTTGATAGAAGTTAAAGGTTGATTAGTTTTGTTACTAACATAATATACAAGAATCTTGAGATGTTGGATTAAGTATTACAAGAGTAATTCGATAGAATATACAATGACACTGATGTTAATACGATTTGTATTCGCTTAACGAAGCATAATAGTGATGTAGTGAAGTGTGAAAAGAATTGATGAAAGTATAACATAGCTATTACAGTATTGGTAAAACAATATACATACTTCCTTTATACAACAAAAAAAACTTGAATTGCTCATAGCGAAAAAAGTGCAAATAAACAAAAGTGTTCCAAAATAATCATCTGTATCAGATGAAGTTCAAACTAGGTAGGACCTATGTTTAACATTGTAGTATTAATTTACTAACATTTTGACAAACATACTAAGTTTTTACGTAGACTAGAAGCATGCCTATTTTAGTACAATTATTTAGTAGATTACTTAAATAGGTGGGAGTGCGCTTTGTGTGAGAGAAATTATTTCAAAGTACCTTGTTTTTTACTATCATTACGAGACATTCAACTAAAAAAATATATGTCGACCCTAAAACTATCTTTATAAAAATATCGGTCGTATGTTGTAGTGGTTTATATCGAAGTTATACATTTGTGGCCTTAATTATAGTACTATTGAAGACTGATTCAACACGCATCTACTTTAGTAGTTATAATTTTCTTTTTCCGACGCTATTTGATTTTACATTAAATTAAACACATTTCAAAATGCAAGTTTTTTAATAGAATCGATTTTGATTTATATGATTTAAAAATTCCCCCAACTCGTCGTTATTAATTATAAAATTAGTGTTTGAAGATTTGTTGAAATGTTTTATACCTACTTATTTTTGATGTGCTTTTTGCCATATATTTACATTAATCTAATTCAGTCATTCTAAAAAATAGAACAAAGTGGATGAAACATGATAAATAGTTCAATTTATTGAATTTTTATTGTTATTTGGTTCATATTTTATTTTTATTATTTTATCAATTTGATGTAAATATTTATTGAACCAAAATATGTAATTGTATTTATGTTGTTATTTATTATAAATATATATTTCATTCTTATTTCGTAAATGCAAATATTGAATTTGATAATTCCGAGATTTTATTTACTTTATGTATTCTTTGTATTACCTATCTTCATTATTGATTTGTATGTTTTGAATTGATTTTAAGATCCCTAGACGACCATGTGACATGGCATGACATGCTTTCCGTAATTTTGTTTGTTTTGATTGATGCGAGAAGCTTATATACAACACTGGAGATTGCAGTGCAAACAATACCTTGAAGTGAAAAAATATGGCCTTGAATGACGTCACATATGTTTGTTATCTCTTTCTAAGGGTGACCATGTTGGAATATACGTTTAGGATACATACTTACTGGTATCGTCTTTAAACAATTTATAAATCAAAGCGTTGGAGTTGATAGGAACTTGGGAACACATTATTTAATAGTAATAAAATTCACAAGTACAAAAATCGTTTTATTCATATTAGATGCGTCTTATATTATGCCATGTCAAAAACATTTATAAAAAAATTAACGAGAAAGAATATGCAAACCCTTTTTAAAATCGCCAGAAATGCCTTTTACTAAGAACGGACTAGAATCTCTAAGCTACATATTTTGGCTGATAAATAAAATTGACCTTTTAATGGTATTGTTACGTGTCGGGATGGGGTTCGAAATTATATGCCAGTTCACGATTGACAGTTCTTTATTCACCACACAGTTCACACAATTAACACACAATGTTAATTACAAAACACTCACTAAACACTGTATTTCACTATACAAGTCTCTAAACAATCTCACTTGAACACTTTTGTTGCACTTTGATCGCCTTTGGATTCGCTCCGAAATCGCTGTTGAAACTCAACTGTCTCTGCGCGGCGCCAATCGCCCTTATATACGCCGATCGATGCATTCTAGAAAGTAAATAAATAAATAAATATTTCCAACACTCACACCAATTAGCCTAGCCCCAAAGTAAGTACTATAAGGCTTGTGTTATGGGATACTAGGGTAACGAATAGAATACATAAACTGTACTTATATATATAAGTATATTTTTGACGTGACAACGTCTTAAATTAGGTTGCGGCTGGGAGTCACTTATGAAAAAGTGTAACGCTCGGTAACGTTACGATGAGTCTCTCGTGTTAAGTTTAAGTTTACATGTACAATGTTTTAGTAAACAAAATATAGTTCTATAGTTAAAATTTGTGCAATTCTTATTTTCATTCAATTCCTTGTTCCTATTGTGCAATTTAATTATATTCATATCAATAAATATTCTACCGAGAAAAAGACGTTGTCACGTAAAATCTTCGCCCGTAAAACCGACTTTACAGGCAACCATTTTTTTTTATAGAAATACATATTAAACATCCATGATTGGAGTACAAATGCTCGTATTCATCACACAAACATCTGTCCCCACCGGGATTTGAACCCGGGACCTCTCGAGTCGGCGACACCATGAAACCCGGCGTACAAACCACTCGACCACGGAGGTCGTCGAAAGTCGAAGTTCTAGAAAGTACCTGTTAAATTGAGAATTACCTAGCACCCGCGAGTACGAAATACCTACTTATACCTAAGCAAGTAACACGCATAACTTGTAAAGAAGTGCAGATATCGTTGCACTTTCTCCTTTACGTCGCACTGCATAAGGCTCATTTTAGAATAAGCCGCCTTACTCGACTTCTATTGCGACCCGCGGTGCTCTGGCTAATTCGATCTCTAGCACATTCGCGGTTCCGTTTCGAGAGCGGTTGTGACAGTATAATGGACAACCAAGAATTTCTTTTAATGATATCTTTCGGGAAGCTGAAACATAAACAAAGGTATAAGACCGCTGCTAGATAGCTGTTATTAAATAGGTTTTCTACATCTAATCAACATGATCTACTACAGTATTTATTATAAACTTATTTTCATATTTTGAACTTTATAATTACTATTTACAATAATACTTATGTATTTTAACTTTCTCAAAATATCTCAAGTGTAGTGATAATGGTTACCCTACAAAACCAAAATTTATATTATTTTAATTTAATAAACTGCTGAATATGGTACCAAATGTAGTGAATAAAACAAGAATAACGTTAATTTATAGCCTCAGGACACTATGATTTATAAATACTAACGTTTTATTATGATTACAACATAAAAATATAGGAATATGTTTATTTCGGTATTGGCGTAATGTAATAGACTTACCTGTGAAATTTAGTGCTGGAATTTGGTTCCCAAACACTTCTGCAATCTCACACAACACAATACATATTATAAATAGCAAATTGAACAATTTAACACTTTTTAATAAATAATAATCTAAACATTCGAAGCGGTAGATTTTTTTTGACAGATCGGAGATATTCTTCAGTTGATTTTTTAATTAGTGTTGCTATTATACCAAAATGGTAGCAACCAGCAAACAGGGAAATAAAGGGCGTATTTATTATTTAGTTTTAAATATTGATTTCAAAGTAGTTGGTTAGAATTTGTCACACTCATCTTATAATAGTAATACAAGAGTAGGACTTCTGGAGATTGTAAAACTGATTGATATCTTGCATAGTTCTGTTTATTTTCACTTTCTGATTGGAATTTCTTGTATTTAACATGGTAATTTCAGATAGTGTGTGAGAGAGATAAAAAACATATCATGGGGTTAATGAACTCATCTTCACACAGAAGTTCTACATGCAATCTCCAGTGTTGTATATAAGCTTCTTGGATTGATGCAATTGACATGCAAACTACGTGCTGATTTCTACAGATTTATGCGAATAACATGCAAAATTTATATGCTGTTAAGCAGAGTGAATTGATAATTCACGTAAATGCAGACCACATGATCGTCTAGCTAGGGGATCCGTTATGGATATATTATGTCCAAATAAATAAAAGAAGATCTGAGGATAACCATAAATAATAATTTTTCAGCTTTATATGAATTAGAGATTGATATTAAGTTACAATGCCATTGATAACCTACTTTTTATCAGACGTGAGGATATTTTATAATTATTTTTATTTTCAATTATCCTCATATAAATAAGTTTTTGGAAAATTTTAAATTTCGACTTAGTACAAAATATATTGTTGCAATGTCAAAAATGTGTTCCTTAAATCAATGCTACTTGAATAAAAAATGTTTTGCTCACAAAAAGGAATGGTGAATGTTTATAAATCAATTTGTAGTATGTGTTTAACGTATGTAAGTATTATAAAAATATTGTTTACTTCCGATTGCCTTTTCAAGAAATAACAAAAAGAACTTGTTAAAAATCTCCATGTAAAAATGAAGCCCATGATGTTTTTCATAATATAAATAAGAACAATGGCAAGATAAAAAAGAGACTTTTGTCATAAATTGTATAGCCTATTAAAATGTATTTTATAATTTGAGCTAATGTGAGTTCCGTAGAACTTTTTTAACTATGGAACGTAACTTTGTCCCAAACATGTAAAAGATTAAACTTTCCGCCCTGTCACATCAGGAGCGAACGTCCTTCAGTTCATAGCGCATAGGTTCATAGGTGGTATATTTTCCGAGGTCGATAAGTACATTAATAAAATAAAACACAAAATGGGTGCTATTTTGTGGTGGAGCTGGGACACTTAAGTTAAGACTCTCTTTCTTGTCCTTCAAGTTAATTCGTGCTTATCAAGACGTTCGTTCGTAAACAGACTTTTCCGCTGGGGATCAAAGTTACATTCCAGGTTAGATTTCAACAAAAACTGTTTTTATTATCTGAGTAGTTTTTATTTTAAATAATGTATTCAAGAACAAGTGAGTAATATTCTGTACATAGTGATTTAAGAAGCTGGCTGGCTTTCTTTATCCTCATTATGGACACAGTAAATACATTCTTACTCAGATTACAGAACAATCTGTAATCTGAGACTTTTTACATAAAATTGTTCTTGCCACCCATAGGACAGATTACCTCATAATTATAAAGCATGGGAACATTACATTATTATGCCACCGCGATATGATATATAACGCGTTTTTATCACGCTCATTTGTCAAATTACTATGCAGTCTGACAGTTAGACGTGATTACGTGATATACTGTAAATTGTAGCTAGCGCGATATATAGCTAGCGAGTATATAGCTTGTGTTTATCACGCTCAATTGTCAAATAAAGAGTTTGGCAGTTAAGCGCGATAAAAACGTGATATAATGTTAATTGTGGTGCACATGCTACAAGGACTGAGCTTATTCAAGTTTGAAATCACCTTTTGGTTAGATTTAACAAACTCGAAATTAATAATATTTGTAACTGTTAGTCCTATAAGCTTGATTGTGGTACTTGATTAGGCGCATTCTTGTGTGATTATTAAAATAATACTTACGTCCTTCCCTATGGTTAACGGTTTTTGAGAAATTTTAACTGGCGCATGTTTTGTGCGCACTAAATAAATAATTCGTAGTCGATTTTCTATCATTATTTTATATAATAACCATAGAGAAGGAAAGTCACAATGGGCGGAGAAAATATTACGCCCTTTGAGGACATTAATGATTTCATGCAAGGCAACAACAGCCGTTGTAGTGTGTCATATTTCTTTAATTTTTTAATTTAGTTTTATACTAGACAAATGGAAGAACATAGACATACTAAGAATGTGCATTTAATTTCCTTGCAAGGACGGTGAGCATAATAAATAATTTTGCATAGTAGTATGTTGGCTTTTGGAACGAGAAATAAATTCATAAAAATGACTAGTACCTAGTTTTTTATTTAATATCATCATAATCATCAGCCTATTAATGCTCATACTGCTGGGCCACAGGCCTGCCCTATGGATGGAATAGGGAGATTGGGCCATGATTGGCTAACGACTGCAGATGCAGCCGGAACCAACGGCTTAACTTCCGAAGCACGAGTAACTTGTGATAGAAAATTTTTGGTCACCCATCCAATGACCGACCACTGCCAAAGTTGCTTAACTTCAACGATCGCAGCCGAACGTGTTAACCACCTGCGCCATCGAGCTCGTCATATATTATTTAATATCATCATCATCATCAGCCTATTAATGTCCCCACTGCTGGGGCACAGGCCTTCCCGGTGGATGGAATAGGGATATTATTTAATATACTTACAATTAAACCTTTGTACTAGGGTAAGGTACTTTCCAACCTCCCACCCTCCCCGCCTCGCCGCACTGTGTTCCTAAACAGATCCTATTGGTCGACGGTACTAGTTGGTGTGCCTATGTGACATATTTTGTGACTTATCGACGCCCAACTCGAAGCCAACGGGTAGTACTATAACGTGCTTGTAAAATATTTTTATGATTTTCCACCTTGAGCTGAGTAAAAATACATGTTCATCCATCAACACAAGAGCGCCAAGAACCATCACCTACAATCGTCACGTCAATTTATTAGAATATTGTATTCACTAGTAACTTGTATCGCAGAGATTTGGAGATATGGGCGTGGAAGCGTGACGCCGTCGGCTACCCCATTGTACCTATCCCGAAATCTAAAAGCAATAAGGGTTTTATGGAATCACGGGCTCCAGGCAGCAGCACTAAGGCGAAAGGTCTACTCATCCGTCAAATCACGTATGTCGTCATAGCATAGGGATAAATTTAATTTAAATGCTTGTTGAAATAGTTCGCGCCAAAACCTCCATACAAAATACCTCATGCCACAGTGGCGCCAACTGGTGACGTAAATTTTTATAAACATCGTCAACTAAAGTGCGACGAAGATCTTTATGAATCTGGCGAAAATTGGAACTACCGTCTTTGTAAACATTATATTTGGTATGTTCATTTACGTAGACAGTGGCGCTCTCCCTGAAGTGGCATTTCCGGTTTAAAAGCTCGAACTTGATTTCCTGTTACAGGTATTCGAAATCATTGATAAAAATCAAAACAATGATTTCATGAAACGTTAACCCAGCAGCAGCGCCACTAATTCAAAAGTGACAGAATGATTTCAGTGGTATTATGTCATTATGGCTACTTCCCACCTAGCCACGTCGGCTGTGATCTCTATGGATGCACCCCAAGTACGCACTATGGCAGATCCGTAATCGTATCGCTGGAGCTATTAGCTGTACCCCTAGCATGAACCAATATCGAATTCGTATCGTTTGAGAGTCCGAAATGTCATTGTCAAATGTGTACTGATTTTTAGTCCTCGTTGCGAACTTTGTGCCGCTGCTTTTCAAGTTTCCATACAAAATTTGACATTGACGTTTTGGTTAGCAAACTATTCAAATTCGTTAATAGTTTGTCCTATGGGTTCTGGAGTAAGAACAAACTGGCTACTTCCATAGAAACTTTGATGATACCTACTAGTGATGTAACGAATGCCATTTTTTGAACATTCGCGAATGCGAATATCTAGTAACAACATTAAAAATTGGCGCCAATTGTCTATGACATGGTGGCAGTCTCGTTCGAATTACCGAGTTGATATGAACTCATCCGACTGAAGTATCATTCCGCTCGCGCCGGTCCTTTCGTAAACAAAACAAGTGAATTTTGAGGTTAGAGTTTGAATAGTGATTTATTATCATGAGTAAATCGAATTCTAGTGAAATATGGATTTCTTTCACACTGCGATACTGAACGAGCTAAATGCAAGCTGTGTAAAAATGAATATTCAAGGAAGGAAGAACTACAACTTCTTCAAATTGTTTTTTTCTAATATTCATATTCGCAAAACATTCGCAGAGATTTTGCGAATGCGGATGCGAATATTCGTTACATCACTAATACCTACGATACTATTACGGAGCTGTCAAAATTCATGCTCTGGCATCAGATCCGCACCGCTCTCGATACCGTAGTTCACATTACAATGCTTTATACTTAGGGCAGGAGCCCATGGAGCGCCCATGTGCAATAGTTATTCTAGTAGCGTCCTCTAGTTACCACAGGGTACAGAATATTATACATCCCCTTCAGAATTTCAAGGTGCAACGCATAATGCATACCCTGCTCTAGGGATGACGATCTGAGATCGATTAATTAAAGAATCGATATTTGGTTCCAAAAATATTGATTTCATTAATCGGTATGTAGTACTGTATCGATATTTCACCCTTGAAAATCGACATTCGATTTTATTTTATTTTTTTGGTATAAACCAAAAAAGTGTTTAGAATTATTTGAATGTACCCGTTATAAGAGTGCTGCCGGTTTAAGGGTTAATTATTTAAATAACTCGCTAGATGGCTGTATGTAAGAATTCCTTTGCTCCTCTTTAATAAAAAAAGTTACGTTTGTTTGTAATCTTTAATTAAAAATATTTTTTATCATTGAATTACCTGATTTTACTGATAAGAGATCGTTAAATTATATTAAGCATCTTGTTTTTAATAAAATAGATTTATATTACACTATAAACAAAAACTTGAATAAAACATCGATTTTTCAGAAATCACTCTTATTGGCCTCGATTTTTTTGTGGATCGATTCATTAGGTCACGATTCGAATCGTTTAATACATCTATCTTTTTCTGAAAAAATCGTCAGCCCTACCCTGTACCATAGATAAAGCCATCTTTAACTAAACGTAAATCTAAAGAAAATAGTCCCTCCTTTTCATTCTGTATACACACCTGCCAGAATCAGACCCATTGGTGTTTGACTTCTTTAAATTAATTTTTTAAGGTATAACTTTTAGCTGTTTAGTTTGCTTTGACTTCAAAAATAGGAAAAATTAAAAAAAAACCGTAAAAACAATGTTGCCAACTGAAAGGCTTTTTCCCTAAAAGAAGGGGAAGTTAGAGCATAAAGGAGGAAAGAAGGAAACTACCTTCATATTCTAATCTAAAGAAAATATTTACTTGAAAAAAACCACTCTGTTCAGAATTCAGGCAGGATTTTGCTTCAGTCCAGCACCTTCTAATGAACAGGTGGATGCACTAACTGTGTCTTTTATTGTTCTAGTATTTCTCAGACTTCAAGATAATGCACTCTCTTCGCATATGCTCTTTGCATTGTAGGTAACCCACAATAGCTAATCAAATACTTTTACAAGTAAACAACTCAAGAAGTCAAGAATGAGTACCAATTGTAGTTTATTATATTTTATTATAAGCACTATCCCGTTAGATTAGTCTAACTAAAGAAAATTACTATGATGTCGATTAAAAATGCATTATCTCACATTGCACTATTGAAATAAAAATTGCTAATACCACAGATTTCAGTTAAAGTCATAATTGTGAAAATTATGTTAATATCATAGTATATGTATTTATTATGCAAACTAAATATACCATTTGTCTGTAAGTCTTCCAAAAAATAAATTAATTAATTTAAATTTATTTTACTTAAATGATTTGCCACCTGGGGTGGAGTCACCAAATCCAACCTTTTATGCTTAGAGCGTTCTCAAAGAGCTATTCTGAAAGTGTATATGTTCAAGTGTATTCTCTTTCCTACATTTGAGCTATATCAAATTACGCAAGTGCTCACTATATTATACAATGTATTATATTCGTCTATCCTTCATGGGCTTGCCCTATTGTATAGACGAACTACCTCACATATCATATATTAGAAAAATTACTAGCAAAATCACACACGCTCCCTCCACACACAAACACACATACGTGCACACAAACACCACACTCACAAATTCATACCCACATACGTGTACAACCAGTACTACCATATACTCTATCATGCAAAATGATATGAATGTAAACTAAAATTTATCGTTGTTCTCCGTTTTTTTTGGCTTATGTAACACTTTCTTATAGCGGGGAGAGGCTGGTGCGCTGAGTCACAGGTGTAAGCTAGTTTGCTCACCAGTCTCTCTCATAATATTAGACTTAAGTTTTTTAATCTGTTACTGGTGAACCATGCATAAATAAGATTGTAGAGAGAAAATATTTTTTTATTATTATTATTAAATAAATAAACTGCTTAATAGAGGATTCTTTTTGCTATGGTTGCACCTTGCTTATTTACTTCTTTACAATTCGGTATAGCTCCATGAACTTTCATGATTTAATACTAGGTAGTGAAATATAAATTAATAGCATAGTCTGAACGCGTGGTATAAAATGGCTCTTACAAGTCTTAAATAAAATCGAATTACAATAAATGCACTTTGAATTATAGCATCTTTGTAGTGGGAAATATTTTGGAAGATGGTAACATTGGAATTGAATATAAAAAAAATGTATAATTTCCGGATCCAGAATCGCAGACTGCACGTGTAAGCAAGATCAAAATTAAAAACGTGCGTGTAGAAAATTTGTGTACTTTTGCAGTGTGATTATCAAAGCAGTGTCTTTACATTTGTGACAGGTTCGTACAAACCATGAAATTCAAAAAATATCTGCAATATTTGTACTAGATCATTTTCTGCGTGGCTATGGCGGCGAGTTGCTTTGCTTGCTCGCCCGCCATGTTGTTGACTGGCTTGGTTTGGTTGTGCGTGCAGCGTGGTAATTTATTCTAAAAGATAACAACTCAACGATCAATATTCAGATACTAAATACTTGACTCATAATAAAACCAATTACAGGATCCTGGTGAGATTATATTATTTGTAGTTCTTACAGTTGTATTTGTAAAGTAAGCTGTTTGGTTTTGAATGGGTACATACAGACCCACATTGAATTACGTAAACTAATAATAGCGGCAGTAATTCGCGGACTTGAAATATAGTAGCATCGTGTATTTAATATATCGTTTTAAAAATGTAGTGTTATGATTGAATAACTAGTGAATGATTCCAACCTTAAAGTTGGAATTCTCTACAAATCTGTGTTTAAAAGCATACGAAAGATACTAACAATTTGGTCATTGTTGGAATTGTTAAATGTGTATGTTCATAAATAAATAATTTTCTGAAACAACACGCCAGATTGCGGCGTTACCATAGATTCTTTAACTACTACTCCAGGAGCTGTTGCATTTTGAAGTTCTGTTTGCACTCGAGTCATTCGCTTTGGTTATAAATAATAATTTACGAAGTGGTGTGAAACATTAATCCCCTTATTTCAAAGCTTGGACTAAAGTTAGTATTGGTAAACCTCTCTCTGTCTCTGTCTTCTTTTGAGCATACAAAAGTGACAGCAACTATTTTAGTCCAGGTTTAACTTATGTCTATGTTTTGTAATAAGGCGGTAAGACTTATTAAAACCACAAAAAACCTTGATTAACAAAATATTGTTTCCATATGCTATTAATTTAAAATTTTGTTTTTTCTACAGAAAATGGTCGGGTCACGAGTGTATGTTGGTGGCTTACCATTTGGTGTCAGGGATAGGGACTTGGAAAAGTTCTTCAGAGGATTTGGCAGAATTCGTGATATCCTCATCAAGAATGGCTATGGGTTTGTGGTAAGTTTAGTTTAAATAGGTTATCCTTTATATTAGTTTTTCTTTTTGTTATGGGAAATTTGTAATACAATTTGGGCTAAACTGCTCTTTCTAGGCCCACAAGTTGATACTTCACAACTAGATTAGTGTTATGAGCATAACATACAAGCCGTGTAAGTGAAACTTTGTTGTTAGAAACCTTAAAAAATTGTGATGTATCACTTTCTGGGCCTACAATTTGTTTAGCAGAATCTTATTTTGGTAACAAACCACCTCTTTGCTACAGGAGTTTGAAGACTATCGAGATGCAGACGATGCTGTGTATGAATTAAACGGGAAAGAGTTACTGGGAGATAGGTAAGAATGTTTTTTTATTTAACCCTGTTTTGTAACCTTTTCATTGTTGACTTCAAGTAAATCCTTAGTTTTGTGGTAGTTATTAATTTTTAGTTTGTTTGATAATTTCAAATTAATAATTGATTTTCTTTATCAGCCGGCTCCACATTTTGTGAGAATTGTATGGAGAACTGATATAAAAAAGATTTTCATAAACGAATGGTTGGTTATGAATACTTGAATGTATGAAAGTTTCATTATTTCGCTAACTTAAAAAGACATTTAAAATTTTTGTGGAGGTCAATGAATGTTTAATCTTGGTGGTGATAGGGAAGAAAGAAAGTCACTGCATTGATTACTCGTCAATTAGTAACTACTCAATGGACTAACTGGTTGGTTTCCTTCAAAATAAAATGTTCATTACCAAAAATATTATTGTGTTGTTCACAATTTTCAGATACACTAAAACCCTTTCAAGATTTGTAGTATCTATAGATGAACACAGTGTAAATTTATTGAACACTGAATTTTAAATATTGCTCAATCTTATCATTTTGACTGTCTTATATCTGTCATTGATTTTCAGTATTTTTATCATGATTATCAAGTTATCCCGGGATTGATACTGGTATGCCACCTACATCAAGTTAGTGTATTAAAAATTACAATTTATCATAAATCAAAAGTCAAACTTTTAATTATTAGTCTGATGTGATTGTGAAATCATCCTGGAATTGATATTGGCATACCACTTAGAGTTAATAAATAAGTTAGTATAATAAACAATGGAATTTATCATAAACTAGCGGCCGCCCGCGACTTTGTACACATGGAGTTAGTTATAAATAAAGTTTCACTGCTCAATCCCCATAGGTGACAGCGTGATAATATGTAGCCTATAAGTTGACCCGACTTATAATATTCGTGCCAAATTTGAAGTAAATCCATGCAGTACTTTTTGAGTTTATAACGGACATACATACAGACAACAATTCTAAAAACTATACTTTTGGCTTTGGTATCAATTGTAGATCGCACCCCAAATTTTCTTTTCAAAAAATATTCAATGTACAGTTTAGATTTTCCTACCATTTTATTATATGTGTATAGATCAAAAGCCAAACATTGAATCATTAGTCCGAGTAGTGTTGACGAGAGAGTCGGTGCAGTAGCGTGCGGGCAAAGCTAACGCAGGTCCCGTCGACGTCCCAACAGGGTGGTGGTGGAGCCGGCGCGAGGCATCGACCGCAGCGCAGACCGTTACCGGCGCGACCGCCACCACGACCGCGACCGCGGCCGGTCACGATACGAGTGAGTGTCGTGTGTTGGTTGTAGGGTGTCCGTGGAGAGAGCTCGCGGCATGCCGCGCGGGTCGGACCGCTGGCGGTGCCGCGACCAGCCGCCGCCCCCGCGACGCCCGCCTCCGCCTCGTCGGGACACGTCTGTACTTAACGCGGAACACAAAAAGAGGTTAGGCCGTATACAGAAAGAAAGCTGCAAGCTGACCAGCGCTGGTCCTTACCGATAACCGGCGCAAGCATTTCTATGGACCAGCCCCGATAAACGCCGATAAGTGCAGACACGCGCTGGTCACCGCCCTTTGAAATTAATGAAAACTAGGCTTCAATCTGCTTCCTTTATGTAACTTATCAGCGCTGATAAGCACTGGTCGACTTTCAGCTTTCTTTCTGTATATGGCCTTAGATGGGCTTTGCTTGGCTCGCCTGCCCCGCCCACAGTTGTCGAGAGTTGTCTGGATTTTCCCGACATTTTATGTGATCTCCAGACTCCCGCAATCTCCCGAAAAACGAATATGGCGATACATCTTTTTTGTTTGTTTAGCCTGTGCCGCAGTATTATTTGGAAACAACAAACTCAAAATCCCAACATTGTAAAATGTAATCCAGATATTTTAACTTCTTTATCTGGCAACCCTAGAGCAAATGTTCATGTAACTTATCGGGCGAGCCGGCGACATCGGCTCCCATGCAAACGTTCTATGATCGCCCTTCTAACCCTCTTACTGTGTTCTTTAATGTTAACACCATGCCATACATGTGCAAAAAACATTGCTCTGTACTTGCTAACTCGACACTAGGTGCCTTTTTGCGTGAAGGAATGGCGTCAGTCTCGCCATACCAGCTCCCCCAAGAAGTTCAGTAGTATAGTGGATTATTCTAGAAGCCAGCCGTGAACCTGGACCAGTTCCTGATCATGCGGATTGATTAACAACCACCTGCACATTGCACTCCATCTGTTTGGGGAAAGTTTTACCTATACTTCCTGAGTTGTATTATCAACTAATTTCAATGTCCTGGGTTTTTGCTGGACAACAACAAATATATTCTGATAATTCTAAAATTCCTTCATCAAAGTCGTACATCGATCTTATCTTACTATCCAATTGCTCATTAAAAGGTGTCAACAAACACAAATTAGTAAATGATCTCCGAAAAAACACATCTGCTACCTAACCTTTGGGTTTGCAATTGTACTTTTTGTAGTTTTCATTTAAATATTTTCGGTAAGAAACATTGAATACTAAATAACTTTGAGCAATTCTGATGCATATACGTTTTAGATTACCCGTCATGCTTTGCATCATCAAGCAATTAATAAATTACATACACCGGACAATATGATGTATTTTAACAACAATGTTAAAAATTCTATTAACTGACTTCATTGCTCATTTAAAAATATTTTTAATTATTCGAAATCTAAAAATGATTTTTGCATATTATGGTATGGTTTAGGATTTTGATATCATGCATTTTATTTGGAGTCATGTGTTAGTTGTGCTTCCTGTCATATTAACATTTTGTTTTATGTACATAGCTTATATTTTCATACTGTTTTCTTGTATTTGTAGACAGTGGGCTTAATCTGCACGAGTCCAAAGACAAAAACTAAATTTGATTTGACGAGCAATATCTCTTTCCTTCTCTATAGAGCATGATAATCATGCTCAGAATAGGCTATTTGACAAGTTTTTGAAAACGTTCATATGTAATTTATTAGTTTATTTATGACTCCATAAAAGTGGAATATGTATTTATAATTGTTGCGTATATCAGTAGAAAAGAAAAAAATCTGTTTTCACATATGCCGCGGAAACGTTTCTCTAGCTCTGTGGCAACTTACAGGCAGGTGACGTCACATTTCTCTCATTAAAACGTCAAACAATACAAAATATTCTCATTACGACAGCATGTTTACAAGTAGGTGTCATTTTAGACTCCGCCAATCTAAGGCGTTGTCGCGTGACAATAGATCAAAAAAGACTTATTTCATAGTTTTTATTAATATTATCAACTATTTTTTTTTTGTCAGAATATTGAAATCGCTAACAATATTCATGTTAAATACATAGGCCAATAATAATAATCAGTACTTTATTTTTCATACTGTCAAATAGCCTATTGGTTGTATTTTTAAAGAATTTTGTCAGAATTAAGTCCAATATTTAGCTTTTAAATAGCTTGTGATAATTTGTCAATGCTTTTTGTTTATAAACCCTGCTTGATAACCATTTGATAATTTACCAATTTTACTGTATCATTTTATATACTTTGCAGCTATCAGTAAGTAAAATATCGTAGTATTTATCTTTAAAACGTCGCAATTGTAAAAAGATAAGCGTGTGACCTTGAGTGCAATCAATATTGCCTAACTTTTGTGTGAACAGATAATAATTAATGAGTTACAATTTGTTAAAAATATTGCATTGTATCTTCTAATTTGATTTTTACTTCCCCCACTTCCCATTTTGTCCAAAATAAGAAAGTTAAATACACATAATGCAAATATATTTATTTCTATTTATAATAAATCCCAATATTTTCTTTATAAATACCTCTACCTTGTATTCATTTAGTAAAGTATTATGAGTTTTATTAACATAAATAAATTTATTTTGCAGCAGTGACTACAATTATAGATATGGGCCACCAACGCGCACCGAGTATCGGCTTATCGTCGAAAATCTGTCTAGCCGCATTAGCTGGCAGGTAAGAACCGGCGCTGGGCTGCCAAGGGTCCATCATCATTCCATCACCAACCATCACCCAGGGTCCTGGACATGCTTCGCGGTTACTTGAGGGCTGGGCACACTATCTCCACGAGGCACGGGCGGTACTTATCTCTCGGGACGTGGCGCACGGTACAAGGGCAAACTTTCGGATGGCAATCTCTGTACAAACGAAGGAAGAACGAAGAACCAAAGATGACTCGAAACGGACAAATAAGACTGGAGGCAAAGACAAAACTCGGAAAGACAATTGGGACAGTGAAAACTCGAATGGCCGGACGAATCGCAACGTTACCACGGAAGACCGATGGACACCCCAGCCACTACCACAACCTGGACGCGAAAGCTCATCACCTACCATTACCTGGACGCGAGAGCTCATCACTCACCTAACTAATGAAACACCAAAACGTAAAAAAGAACCGCTTTGTTAAACAGTTATTGTTGTATACTCTGTAATATAGCTTAACAAGAATTAGTGTAGCATAACATGAATTGTTATTTCAAGTTTTTTTCACTTCCTAATAAATACAATCTGTAATGCGAATTACTTACGAGCTTATAGATAATTTTAAACAACAGAAGGTGGTGTATCGTGCCCTGAGTCCCTGAGCCCTCGATGTAGCGCTGTGTGAGATGTGGTCTGAGCCGATGTTAGGAGGGTTTGGTCTGCGCCGCTGAGATGACCGCCCCGCCTCCTGCCGCCCGCGGCTAACGCCAAGGTAAAGTCGACAGGGGGCACAGACAACAGGAGCCGCTCTCTATATGTGCAATCTCCCATTTCTAATTCATTAATTTGCCATCGTTAATTTCCTTTTTTATGTTCAGTAACATACTCGTTCGCAATGGGCGCACCGCCTACGCGATGTTTCGTTGAGTGGTGGCTGTTGTGGACGTATCATTTTATATCGTTTTTTTTTACGTTTATTTTGCGGCCTCAACAACTTTTCGTATTTGGCATTTCCTAGAGGTATCATTGTTTATGGAACCGAGGGGATGGTGCGATGACGATTAGGAACTGCCGAGATGCCCGAGGGAAGGACTGGACAAGGACAAAGCAAAGACTGGTCTGAGGAGAAAGCATAAGCACACATGTCAAATCCAAAGAAGGGGTCCCAAGGAGAGTTCTTACTCGACAGCTGAGTCACTTGAAGTAATAGAGGATATTAGGAAAAAAAAAAGATTAAGGAGTCCAATGATGCAAGGAACACGTGATGATGGAAATCTGAATTGATGACAAAATTTGAGAAACTGGACTATCACCACACTCGTTGCCTTTCGGATGTCCTGGAGGATCAGAAATGCGGAGAATGTTGTTGACATATCACATGTAAACAATGATAACCGACAGGTAACCATTTACGAAATGGTGTTGTGGGCACTTTGTTTTCACATTTTTGTTCATCAGATTAACTTATCAAGTATTGAATGCAGACATTTGCTAGGACATTTAGGGCTCTTACGTTAATTAACTGTTCCAAAAGTCTTTGCATACTCTCATTTTACCTACAATGATGATATCGTTTTTTTACCATCTTTCGGGGCTGAAAGAATTGATGTTAACTTTTGATCTGATCAAAGACTTTTGGAAGAGAAAATTACACTCTTAATCGATACAATATTAACATAATTCATTAACTTGCAGGATTTGAAGGATTATATGCGTCAAGCCGGAGAAGTTACTTACGCTGACGCCCACAAACAACATAGAAATGAAGGGTGAGTTATTTAAATACTAGTAGCCGCTAGCGACTGCGTCCCCGTTAACTTTAGTTTCTTAATAATCCCACAGGAACTCAAAATGATTCCAGGATAAAAAGTATCATGTTTCAATTCAGGTCATAACTATACGAGTACCAAATTTCATCTAAATCCGTTCAGTAGTTTTTGCTTAATTGGGTACTGAACAAACTCACTTCCACATATATATATTTTTTACAACACAAAATAAGCCTAGCCCCAAAGTAAGCACTGTAAGGCTTGTGTTATGGGATACTAGGGTAACGGATAGAATACATATACAGTACATACATAAGTATATTTGTATAGAAATACATATTAAACATCCATGACTGGAGTACAAATGCTCGTATTCATCACAGAAACATTTGCCCCTACCGGGATTCGAACCCGGGAACTCTCGAGTTATCGAAACCATGAAACCCGGCTTACAAACCACTCGACCACGCAGGTCGTCAAGTTACGATGTACATTTTTTTTTCAATTACAAATCGCTAGCAATCAAAGCTATAAAATCTGCTCGAAGGACCAAGTACCAATAAAATAAAGGAAACTCTTTAAATTAATATGATGATATCGTATTTTTTACTATCTTTCGAGGCTGAAACCTTGATGATTATTTTCAATTTGAGTACCAACAAGTTTGTGCCACCTAAAAAAACGATCAAGCAAGATTTTTCTACATTATGCTTCCTCGTTGATTCTATATGATGATATCGTATTTTTACCATCTTTCGGGGCTGAAAACCTTGATGCTAATTTTAAAATCTGAGTAACCATAATTTTACACCAATTGAAAGCTCAAGTTTACGAATAAACCGTTATAAATTTTGTCTCCTCGTTGGTCAGTGTGGTCGAGTTCGCGACTCATTCGGACATGCGCGCCGCTATAGAGAAGTTGGATGGCACGGAACTGAACGGTCGTCGTATTCGCCTGGTGGAGGACCGTCGCTCGTCGCGTCGCCGCACTCGCTCGTCTTCTAGCCGCTCGCGTAGTCGCTCGCGCGGTCGTCGCAGTCGCTCCAGGTACGATGATTTTTCTTGAATAACAATTTTCTAAACTAATTAAATTAGCACAACAATATCAAACTGAAAAATTATCATTAAAAATTAACCCTAAAATATTTATATACATATTCACAAGAAGAATATGTCATCCAAAATTCCAATTTGGGGCATGGTACCCAGAACACTGGCAGCATTACCTTGCTGAATTGCTGAACTGATTCTCTGCGCGAAATAGCTGCCATTCCTCTGATCACCCGAAGAGAGAATTAGAATTATCTAAACACTCGAAAGTTATATGTACATTTGTTACGTAAACCACATTAGAGGTCTAAGCATGAATTTTGTAGGCTCCGTAATGGTATAGCATCGTTAGTTTCTAAGAAAACTAAACAGCGGACGTAAGAACATTCAACAACTAGCTATTTCCACTTCTATACGAAATTTGACGCCGACGATACGATTACGCGAGCTGTCAAAATTCGTGCAAGGATCAAAGTACTTGTGAAATTGACACCGCACTTAACATGGGTTGATTTCCCCAATATTTGGCAAAAAGTACAAAAACCTATTAATATTCTTTTTGAACAAAATGTAAGGATATGTCGTGAAATTTCATTTAGGAATGAAAGAAAAAGGTAATCTGAAAGACTGTATTTGGTAAACATTGAGTGGAAGTTTTTTATTACTAATAACAATTTCTTGATCCGTAGTTATTTTGATGAGTATACGTATATGAAAATTAAGCCAACTCAACGACAAGAGGAATTTAAGAACTTTCGACATAATTAACAAAATAATTAGGTACTTTTTGGCTTCTTTCGGTTTATGCGACAAAACTAATGAATAATGCAGTATTTTAATGATGATATCACTTTAATTTACCATCTTTCGGGGCTGAAAGCTCTTGATGATAGTCTTACCACTGACCCTCGACTTTAAAATCCTTCCAATAGCCATTTTTCCATTGATCGCTAACCAAAAGCCTTTGTTAAGGCGTTCATCGCGTAGCCGTTCTCGTTCGAAGTCGCGTCCAAAGAGCAAGAGCCCTGCTGCCAAGTCGCGCTCCAGATCCCGCTCTAAGTGAGTAAAGTCGATTATAACACAGGCAATTAGAACAGAAACTCTGACGCTTAAGCAAATGTAAAATACTAGCTGTCGTGAAAAAGTCACGCTGACTCATTCATTATTCTCATCTATCTACACCAACATAAATATTACATTTATCTCTGCTGACACTTCACTTGACTATTCGTGTTTGCTATTTATAAAGTTGACATCAGTCTGTCCTTTTCATACCTTATAAAACATGATGAGGACAGACTTTGTCAAGATTACAAATAGCAAATACGAATAGCCAAGTGAGGGCTGGCATTACTTGAGATTACACAAGTAGAGATTACTAAAATATTTTGAAGGTCTGTAACCATCGAATCATATTCATAATCGTGATGACGTCACAGCAAATTGTGTAAGAGTTTCACTTCTGATTGGCTTTACTTCGTTTATTTGATTTTTTGCGGCGTATTGACAAATGAGCAGACTTTTCAGTGAGAAAGTCACATTCGATTTTAATAATCGGTTGAATGAGGAATCAAGTTAGGTTCCTAAGAATTCTAGCTACCAAGGACGCCGACTCATTTCTCATAAAAAAAATCAGTGATTCATGAAAAAATCTGCTCATAATTTAGAGTAAGAACACATTTCTGAATATCTAAGCGTTGTCGTAGTAGTCAGAAATGTAAAACTAAGACCATTTCTACATCAATCAATATACAAGCTTGCATGCCTGCCCCTTTCAATTATAGAATGCTGCAGCATATTCTTATATTTTCTAGTGAAATTCAGCATGAACATATATTAAATTAACATAGTATTCATTTGGCTAGGTGTGTTATTACTTGCGCTGAGCAAAATTTAAAAACGTAAGTACTTAATCTTAGAACTTCTTGTACGGTTTTTTCTGTATGTAGCATCTTCAGTATTAATGTATTATAGCATATTTCACCTTCATTATTATGGTCAAAGTCATTAGTCTCTTGCAATAGACAAAATAAAAATGCTAATAAAATTAGTGAGTCTTAATACCTGTGACCATTTTTATTAAACTTTTCTCGTCACATACTTTTAAAAGCCGAAATAACTTAATTAACTCACTTTGGAGATTTTATAAAAGAAATAGAAGTAGTCTACTTATCGCATTAAGAATCTGATGCACATCTTGTCTACTGACTTTGACTAATATGACCAACGATATTAAATGCCCTAGATACACCAAGTGCGTTCAAAATGTGTCCTAATCAAGAAGTGCTTGAACTCCACTCTAGCACTTCTTGGTTCACGATGCCGCAGAGCTCCGTGAATAAATGCGAAATAAATACATATAGTACGTAAAGTGTCGTTTTCCGACAGGTATCTAATCAATGTTTGTTAATTTAACATAATTGAAGCAAATTTTGTTCTAATACTTACTATAAACTGATTTAATAGAAAATATTTGTGATATTCAAATGCATGGTCGATAATACAGCAATCTCTTTTCCTCGCGGTCCGTACCTGCTATATTACTAACAACGCATTCAGAATTGCGTATAGAGTCAAAGAAATAAAGTCTGTATTTTTCCGCATATAGCGATAAGTCGTAAAATTTTACGAGCTTTCATTTTGAACTGTCATAACTGATGCATACGTTTTAATTAAGACCTTATATAGTATGCATTAGAGGTGACTTTCAATGTTTAAATAATGTCTTATATTGTTTTTGACAACACTATCATATCATCTTACGGACCTCTGTGGATCGTCCAATGTACCTTTTGGTCAGGGATTGGCCACGATTTTGTTCGTGTTGTTGTATCTAGGGTATTTAATATCGTTGAATATGACAATATTTGTCTAATTTCACGAAATCACTATACTTTATAAAGAGAAAATTCAGCCTTATAACGTAGTGATTAACATGTTGTCAATGCAGAAAAGAAATATTGTCATATACTGTACAACAGTGTTTCTTAAAAGTTTCTGCTGTGACATACCACTATCAGGATTTCTTTTATTCGATCTCCTCTTTATTCTTCATACTCTAATACGTCTACTACACACGTATAGTAGATAGTACTCATATACCTATATTATTAAGTAATGGAGGTAGTGCAACCAGCCGGTATAATTATTGCGTATTGTTGATATGCGGTGTCGCATCTCCATAAGGACCTCTGTCGATCCAAGTCTCGCCGCAACAACTGCCGCACCGCGCCCAAGTCGCTGATCAGGTTTCTTAAAATTATTAACCAAAAAAATACGACGCTGTGTACTGATTACTGTAGACAACTGAAACCTTTACAGATCCTACTTTGATAAACCCTGTTGTACAACCATCACTAGTTTAATAAGTCTACTACACAAATATATAGTAGTACACACACCTGTCCTTATATAAAGTAGAGGTAGTGTAACCATTGCCGGTATGATTATTGCGTATTGTTGTGCGATGTCGCGTCGCCATAGGGACCGCAGTCGATCCAAGTCTCGGTCGCGCTCGGCGTCGCGCCGCAACGACCGCCGCACCGCGTCCAAGTCGCCGGAGAGGAACGGCCACCGCTCCGCTTCCAGATCCAAGTCGCGCTCGCCCAAAGCCGACTCCAAGTGAGTATTTAATGAGGGTTTTACTGGAATGACCGACGCCAGATGGCAGCACTGAGACGAAAGGTCTACTCAACCGTCAAACACGCATATCGTCATATTCTTGGGATCGATTTAACCAGAAACTTCATACTAAGGGCCTCTTGTTACAGTGGCGCTAACTGGTGACGTAAATTTTCTTAAACACCCTCATTGCTTGCAGGTGTGTGCCGTCAATCCGGAATCTGACAATTGTGTGGAGTTAGAGACAGGCTAGTGTGTAGTGACGCGGAGGTTTCAAAGTTTTCAGAATGATTAAAAAGACAGTTTCAATAATAAATCTCCAGTAAAGATGAGCTTACCTGGTGAGGAACACCCAGCCAGTTGCAATAATCGATCTCCAGTCCAGCTTAATTAAGTTACGTTTTTTGCATCAGTTATTATGAAGCAAATAAAAAAAAATGGTAGATAGTGGTCACGCTTCTTAACAACAGTAAATCTTGACAAGAATATCTGTACAACTAAGCTATCGAAGGCCTATCTTTAAAACGAGATTGATTATTGAAACTAGCAGCGTCATTTGTCGTAGCTATTTAATCATGCCATAACATGGTAGTCTGTCTCTAGCAAAAGTTTGCGAGGTTATGTTTTTGTAGATGATCCAATGTAAACTTAGAAGACGCGAGTACACGCAATCCAATCAGGGGCAGTATTTTTAATATCCATACTCGATGCTATAGTGAACTTAGCCTGCCGTGTTCTACTCTATGGCTTAAAAAAAAGAACGCAGATTAGAGTAGGATAGACGATGTTGAAGGTCACGGAATATCTAAATTAGACTTTAACCGTATAGACACAGATAATGTTTTTTAGTTCTCGGTTATAAATGGGGTATTTTTTTTATTTCATGTAAAAAGAACAAAGTCTAACAATATAACCATGCTAAACTCTGTTTATTAACAAGAAGCTGAGCGAGTAAGGTTCAATCTTTATTGCATGATTTTCATTATCAACTTTACTCTCTTAGTAATTAAGAATAATTTCGCAGATCACTAATCTGATTAACCAAAAGCAAGTTAAAACATAACATTGCATTCAATTTAACACTACTGTCAGGTGATATGATATGGAATGTTTATTGGCATAATTTGATTAACAAAATTGATAATGATGTTTAGTGATATTGATAGCACATTTAAATATTAATTTATTAACTCGATCCTTGTTTCCTGCCTCTCAGAGTGACTGCAACTGCAAGGTGAGCTATACCAATGTTAATATAGTTTTTTGTAGTTTGCATACTATTTATTTTCATTACTTTCTGTTTACTGTGTTTTTTGGGTATATATTATTTCAGTAATTTGTAGTAGTTTTACGATTTAGTTGCTCTTAAAATGCTTTGTTTTTAAGTTTATTTAAATTATCTGTTTCTGTTTTTATAAAAAATACACTTTTTTATGCAATAAATAAGACTTATGTTTGCTTTTAAGCATATTAAAAATGTTGATATAATTTTATAATATAAATTATATAAAAAACAATCATATCACCTTGATCTATGACTTTCATCTTTGCTGTTGAACAGCTTTAGAAAATATGTGTGTGAATACATTGGGGCATAATGGCATGGGGCGCACACCTTAAATTTTATTTAAAGAAGTGAGCAAGGCAATAACACTTTTTAAGACGATCATCATAATTATGATGTCTATAAAGAAACTGTACACAGGATTTTGGTAAGCTTAAACAACTGTGATAGTAATTGACAAAAAGTGTATATCATCGTCAGGCTATTATTGTCTCCACTACTTGGGCGCAGGCCCCTATGGATGGAGTACAAAGACTAGGCCATAACCCACCATGCAGGCCCAGGGCGGATTTGTGGGTGCTCACCACTACTTTCCAAAGCACAAAACTCGAGATAGTAAATTTTTGGTCACCCATCAATGTCCGACCACTGCTAAATTGCTTAACCTGAACGATTGCAGCCGAACGCGCTAACCACTTACGCCATCGAGCTCCTACAAAATAATACAACACATTAAAATGTAACCTTTAACATTACAGGGAGAGGTCCCGTTCCCGCAGCAAGGAGGCGTCTCCCAAGCGCGAGGAAAGGGAAGAGCGCCGCGCCACCAAGTCTCGTTCCCGGTCCCGATCCCGCTCGCGTTCCCGCTCCCGATCCCGCGACCGCGACAACGACCGCGACCGCTCCGCCTCCCGTGACCGATCCGGATCGCGCTCCCGATCAAGATCACGATCCCCGCACCAGAACGGCGACGGTCAAGACAGGGCCAGTACGGACCGCTCACCACGCAGCGGGGACTAGAACTATAAAAAGAAACAACAGATTAGAAATAAGACTATATTTAAGACTCTTACAATTAGGTATTAGATTTTATGAACTCTTGACTTCGGCGTCCGTCTTCGGTGGTCACATCACGCCGCCTACACGACTGTCCGATTGTGGTTATTCGCATTTGCTTAGATACCGTGTACCTTATGAAGCATTTTGATCAATAAACGCTATAAAGCAAGTTAGAAATCTAAATATTTAAAAAATAAAATATGAAAAAAATATCTGTAATTTAAGTTCAATGAAAATAAAAATAAAAATGATTTGAATATGAAATGCAAAGAAAACTTACGCACTAAGCTTTTTGTAGTTAAAAGAGAACAGAACTTGTGCAGATTTTTGCGATTCTTGCATAAAAAGACGCAATAAGATGCAAATAATGCATGTTAAAAATATTGTTATTGATCATTATGGTTCATAAGCACCAAGTTTAACAACTATATCTTGATCTCTGTAGATTTTTTATAAGAGTATTTTTCGCAATATGGAAGTAGGCGGACGATAGTAGATTGAGGTCTTGATTGTATTAAAAATATTATTTTTAACGCACCCTTTTTATCTTCCCGTCATGAGCAATGTGTTGTGTTGTCATATAGGTAATTAGCATAGGTACCGACAAAATAAAGCTAACCGCGTAATTTTAAGCTGATACATCGTCAAATCATAGTTGAACTTTTGTGTTTGTTAATGGCTAGGTAATTATACAAAATCGACGATTATTTCCGTTATAGACTTTATAACAAAAGTACATTTTATACACAACTTTCCACGTGGAAATACATTGCGAATTAATTCATTGAAGATACCTATTCAATAGGGGGTAAATGGTATGTATTTGTAAATACAGGATTTGTTACTAATTACCAAATAAATTATATTATAGGTAAGCAAGTCGTTTTATTGTGGCAACCTTAGTCATAGGTAGCATAACCGGCTGCACTCTGAGACATCAATTAATGCTTGTCAAACACTAGACTATTAGTAGTAGAGAAAACTTAATGTGGGTAATTAACGTCTCATAATGCAACCGTATGCGATCAATCTAGCTAGGGGATAATCACACTGCTACACTACGCTGCGGGATGCGTGGCGATGCGACTCTGCCACGCCCCTCTGCAGCAGGACATGAGCATCGGTCGTGTTTTGCGTCTTCTCAAACACAGACGAGTGATATGTGAGGAAACGAAATAAAAAGGAACCAGTGATAGAGCTTTATAAGTGTCGCCGCACACGGGCCACAAACGCCGCCACGAGAAGCTAGAAGCGGCTACTAAAGTGGCTGAAGCGCGCGACAGCGGCCGACTAAAAGCGCCTACTGACGCCTGCCGCAGGGACAATCTAGGGTGCACGGCGGTCGGCCCAAAATCGGCTTGTCTCTACATCATGCCTGCTATTCAGTGTTCGGGCGTATGTTGAGCTAAACACAGGCGTTGATGATGGTCCCAGTATTATCAAAAATATGTTACCGTAAAATGGAAATACTGGGTGAAGACTTGGCAACAGAAAGAAATGTATTGTAAATAAGTAGTGTTTATGATAAAAAAAAAAACCACGCGAACCCGGCAGCAGACGAGACTCGAACTCTTCGCTATCCGGGCGAATTCACTGATCAATTATGCTACCGCATATCGGGTATCGAATTCTTTCAGCCTTTCTTAAGCTGCAAGGCAGCGCCGTCTCTTTGCATTATATGTAACCCACAATATCAAATAAATACCTTTACAAGTATTAAACATTTAAAAGAAGAAATAGCAATTAAAGTCATTCGATTCTAGCATGATTCTCTAAACCTAAACTTAAATTTGAGAGCAGCAAATCCTTGTCATTCTCTTTAAAGAATGAAAAGGAGAGACTAATGGTGAATTTAGTTTTAAGTTTAGAGAATCACGCCCGAATTGACACCAATGTTTGAATCTAAAGAACATATTACAAGAAAAAGTAAAAAAATAACTATTTCTATTTTCTAGTACATAATATTATCTTTAGATTTTAACATCGAGCAGTCACATACTTAAAAAATGAAAATTAATAAAAAAAATATATAAAAATAATGAAAATTAAATAAAAAATCGGTTGGGACAATCTAGTGGTCATCCACACTCTTGCACCCTAGATTGTCTCTGCGGCAGGCATGTCAGTAGGCACTTTAAGGTAAGGGAGAGAGGGGTGGGGAATCGCGCGAGTGACGTGTGACGGCGTTTTGTATCGGCGCATTAAGTGGCCGGTGCGGGCCACAAGAAGCGAGCAATGACGATTTGTAGCGGCCACCGGCGTACCGTGTGTAGCGAGTCCATATGAAATGTATGAAAACTACAAGAAATATGCAGATCGACCCACACACACCCCGTCTGGGTGCTTATCAAGTGCTCCCGCTGCTTGAGCTACGGCCATACAAAGCAGGTCTGTCAGGAGCAGCTGGACAGTTGCAGTAATTGCGGATGAGACATCAAAATATGCCACATGCACAAGAAAGGAGGACACACCATGTAGTCAACATTACAAGAGCAAAAAAAAAAGGCAAAAGCGGAAAGCCACGACTAGAAAATTGTTGGGATTTTGTGACAAAATAGAACAATTGCTTGGGGTAGAAAAACATCATGGGTTCAGCGGTACCGGTAAACGCTGGAGTGGACGTCTACTTGCTTGGAGAATATGGAAGACGGGGAGGAAATAAGTAATTGTGCGCTGGGGCAGCCAAAGCAAGCGGGGGCTTTGATCATTGATCGTGAATTCAAAATCATGATATTAGTTGAGGGAGTTACAATGGATTTAAATATGATAGGACTCTTGTTTCATAAGCCATACGTTAAAAAAAATATGTCACGCCTACCGTGTCACACACACATTAATAAAAAAAAAATGCAACTTATAAAGGTTGTCAATTCCTGCAATTTTTGAATTCACGCAATACCCAAAAATGTATACAACAGGCTTGTCTTGATCTACGTGGGAAATCATGATAGTTTTGTTCTAGGCAGACCATACTTAAACTTAATTTGAGGGAGTTACAGTCGATTTTAAAATGACAGGCCTCTTATGTCATACGCCATACGTAAAATAAACTGGTGATACAACTGTCGTGCCATCAGCAACGAATTGATTAACTAATCAATTTATTACATTGTTATTAAGAATTTTCCAAAGCATAGTCGTTTCTAATTGGTGTACTCGGTATTAAAAAATATAGCAAAAATAATACGTCTATCTGAGAAAACTATGAACAAGAACTAAAGAAATGATGCGAAGTATCAAAGTATTTTCATTTATAGAAAAAGACGATAAACGCAACTTTAAAAAAAAACATGTCAGGTACGAGTCGGACTCATCCATTAAGGGTTCCGTACTTTGTAGTACGCAACATAAACGGCCATATCTTTTTGCCTGTTAACTTAGAAGTTTTATTTTTACAGAGCTTGAAGAGACCGTAGACCTGCAGTACATGGTATAAATTTCAACTCGATACCTCCACGTGTTCCTGAGATAAAGGGTCTTGATTGGAAGAAAGACAATAAAGTGATCCTTTAAGGGTTTCGTCTTTTCCCTTTGAGGTACGGAACCCTAAAAAATGGCAAATTGTTAACATTGCGTTTCTTGCTCGATTAAGTAAGTTATCAGTACCTATCTACTTTAGAATTAATTTTTACTTTTACTAAAATTTATAAAATTTTATATTTAACTTTGATATTTCTATGTTTCCAAGGTAGAGTGTAGGTATATTTTTAGTTTTTTATAATAAAGACTTCCCTGTGCTATGTAGGTGAACTATCTTTTTCAGAACACAAGTACCCTAAGCACGAACCACTATCCAATTCGAATAGATTGTGAGTCCGAAATGTCATTGTCAAAGGACATCGACAAAATCGGCCCTAGCTTGCCCAAAAGAATGTCCTTCACTATTATCTTTTTAACATATTAGCAATTAATCATAGTAAACGGACAATCTGTTTAAAAAAATAAAAAATTAAAGTTCTGTTATTAGATACTACAGTCTATTCATCCAACTTGGCACTCCTTTTTATTGAAAAAACAGCATTAAAAATCAACTGATAACTGGATTCAAAAGGTTTCAGTCTATAATAACGATTTATTTTAATAGTTTATTGGCTTCGTTAATATTTTATTATTAAATGGGTGATTCTGTTAAAAAGTTGTGCCAAGATTGTTTACCTTAATAAATGCATTATTCAAAATTAGAGGCGACCATAGGTATTTATCAAAAGAAAAATAGAGATACCTTAGTTAATAATACTTATTACTAGTATTATATTTATAAAAAGATTATTTCTGAAATTATGTAAAGATAGTTTATACTCACATTCCATGTAATATCTGTTTATTTTTATGAAAATCATAATGATAACCAGATACATACCTAATTACCGATAGTAAAATATAGAAACAGGTAAATGGAAAGACTGAACATTTCATTTGAAAAGAAATCTATTATTACTACAGGTAAGGTATAGGTATCGTAGGTGCCAACTGACAACACTCATTAATAAATATGAATATAAGCATTTATTATTTTTATTATTAATTGCATTTTATGTTCATTTAATGCATATTATTTAAGTGCTTACATAGAGGTAAACACTAAATCTATTCAGAATATATAAAGTATATATCTTTTACGATTAAGTATAATAATTATAACCTCAAAATCAAATACATTCTGTAGTAGGCCACGGTTCCTCAAGTTGTCCGTATCTCAACAAATGCCTAATTAGAGTTTATGAATGATTCCGAACACAACTAGTATTTTCTCATTGCTGGGCGTTCTAGGGCATTCAATGTATGGGGAACGAGCAATGTCCTTTTGTATAAAAACTTGAACAGCAGGGTCATCACGTACGTAACGAGAACTGAAATTCAGTATAATACGATTCAAATAAGAATAGGAAAGCCAATGACCTCCATCTGTCAAATGTCTCTTGAAAAGTACGGTTTGCAAAAAAATCTCGAAACACTTTTTTAGCACTCGGCTGATTCAAGAATAAAATCCAAACATTTTTAAACAAACAATAATAAATTTTGATAATAATATTATTTGTTTTTTTTCACTTATTGAGTATTGGCTATGAATGGTTGATAACCTAAATCGTCAACCAAATGTCACTTTATGTTGCGTTTAGAAACTCGATTTAAAACTTTCGTTTACATATAGGATGCATGTTCGTATGTGACCTGCATGATTATTCATAACTTCTCCGGTGGTAATGCAAAGATGAGCGAAATTGAAGAGCTAGATTCTGATTAATGTTTATTTTCACACATAAAGAAATACTATTAAAAATCGGTTGTTTTTTCTCAACCTTAGTAAATTAATTTTATTAAAAAATCTGATGTTTTGTCTCATTTAATCTTCGTTAATAAGTTTTATTGAATAGCAAAATTTTTTTGCTCACTTTACCTACTTAGTTTGAATTGACAGCTATGACGTCAAAATATGGCGCCCAGTCGGTCCTATTGTTAGTTGAATCGCATTATACACATTTGACAACGACATTTCGCACTCGCAAGGATACGAATTCGATATTGGTTCGTGTTAAGGGTACAGTGCCTGTACTTACATTCCATAATTTATTCCGAAGTGGAATTCATTATTAGGTCCTTCTCGTCTTATGTTTGTATTTCACCATGTTTAACCGACGGCAAAAAGGAGGTCCTGTATTCGTCGGTATATTTGGACTTTGATGATACTGTAATAGGTATAGGTAGCGGCAAATTTTTTGAGCAAAACCACAAATAAACATGAGCAGTGTAGACGTTTTTGTATGTAAAATTGCTGCGCAGGCTCTATGGTCGTTGTTCAAGAAGTTTGCCGGGGTGTCTATCTTTGACGACGATAATGGAAAATGGGAAACAAAGACCAATAAAATCCATTTGTAATCTTTTGTAAACAATTGTTTATTAACATTTTATTTTTCGCGGCCTCACTGCACGTACACATACGTTACAAGCATTCTGGCAATTACTATCACTGCATTAGAGCTACGCCTGGGAATGCCCATGGCAAGCTAAGTAGATGAAAATTTATACAATTTGACTTTTATTCTGACAATATAATCCTATGGAATTAGTTATCTATGGGTGATTACTTTCATTTTTCTTTTGAAATAGAAAAAATGAGAATGTACCAAAGTAACAAGGAGTATCTACTGTACTTTGACCACAGACAATACAAAATAATAAATCACTGGTCTCATGCAAAATAAACAATTTTATGAAAATATTGAGATTATATAAGATTTTTTAAAAAAGATTAAGCTAGTGGAATGATTTGAATTTTATAATTTCCGTATACTCACAGATTCAAATACAAATACATTCATGATTTCCAGTAAAAATGTGTCGAAAATAATCAAGAAGTCAATTTGCTTCAGTCAATTGTAAGCAAAGCTCAAAAAATAATTAGATCAATGATTTCTCTTATAAAACACGGGAATTCAAAACATGTAATCATAAAGTAGTAATAAATTAATTAAAATACTGTCATTTTATTGGTATGCTCGGAAATTAATATAAATCATTAGGCTACATATTAAAAATTCTCAAAAAGAAAAATGAAAGACATTCATTGTGATCAATTTTAAGTACAAAACATTCTATTGTAGTAGAACAATAATTGGCTTTGTGTTTATTTCCGCATAATTTTAAACTTACGATTTGTCATCTTACAAAATTAAATACAAGAACATTATTATTGATCAGTCTATTCATATCTTGATATAAATTTTACAATTGTCCTTTTACCATTTTATTCTACGTCCTCGTACAAAAGGCAACATAAGAGGTAACACCTATCACTTACCAAATAATATCTACAAGTTTTATATATAAAAAAACTGTAATTTTACATAAATTATTTCATAGACGATTCTCTGTCAACAGCACACAAATTCACAAAGGAACATGTGTTCTGTCGAGAGTCCAAATCTTCATTAACACAACGTACTTCGAGAACTGTACCTATTAAAATAAATAAGTTAAAACAACCTGAATTATTATGTCCTATGTTGCCTAGTGACGCTTTATATTGTCAAAGTACTCTTACGAAAATAATGGAGAATATACTTACAATTCTAAAACTTAATAGTTTTTTTCTATACAAAATGACTTAGGTTTCGACATTTGTTTCTTAGTTATAAGTACACCTGTTATTTTAACCTATGGACTAACAACGCGCGTGATATTTTCACATTTTGAATTATTCGAAAGCGATTTGTGCCTCTTCCATTGGCGACAACGAAATGGAAAAGACAAAAATGGCGTTCGGGCCAGGAACGTAAAGTTATTGTGCTAACTGATGTACACCATCCAAAAATGCGGAAGCTAAAAAGTTTGCAAAAAATCTTTGTTGATTTTCAAGAAAACCTGAACAAGATTTTTAACGGAAATATAACTTTCACTATAATAATAAATCATAGGAACAAACGACAATAATTAGTCAATCACAAAAAAATAATCAATGTAAAAAAAACTGATGAACGCATCATTCGCGTTTTCCTTTCATAAATTAGTCTAAGAATCTTAATTTACGCACGGTTTGGCTTCTGTACTGGTGCGAGTCGAGAAAGATAGTGTTATTAGTGGTGTCATAAGATTCGCAGGGACAATACCTTAGCATTATAGAGAATGGGAAATATTACCATTGAGAAATAGCTTTAACTTTTATACCAAGTGTGGTAAAACAAGCATGTGGATTCAAAATGGAAATAAACACTACACTATGTAGTATAGAGATAAAAAAGATGATTATTTTCGGAAAAATAGAAAAATGAGGGGAGATTGCAGAGATGGATCGAGATTTAAAATGGTTGCAATAGTAATGGCGGCAAGTATTGCCCCTGCGAATGGCGGGTGCCACGCGCAACAGACCGATATTGCTCGGGCGCTCGCTCCGCACCGATACCTACAGAGATCGCAGACAGTGGACGTGGTCCACCACGGCCCCACAGCTCGCGCGGTCTTCACCATCAACTTCATTCTTGACGCGTACAATCAAGGAGCTTTGAGGAAGTTACTTGTCTTCCAATTTCAAACATAATTGCTTCAATCCCGATAATAGGAAAAAACGAACTAACAAGATTGAATGCAAGCAATAAACGAATTAAAATTACGTAGGACTTCCAACTGTGTCCTCGATTGTACATCTTCACACATCGGCGGACACTGGGGTTTTTAATCTCACTACACCATAGAATGGGTGCACACGCTACATTACAATGGTACTGCATGTCTTTTGTCAACGATTCAATAGTAAGTTTAAAATAAAAACTATACTGTAAAAAAGCGATTAGCGTACTTAACGTGTGGACCCAAACTTACAATTTTGGCTGACGTGTAAAGAGATACACATACACACAAACACACATTGAACACATTCCAGTCGACAGTGACGCTCGCCGATAGGGGCGGAGAGAGTGCGATCCGTCCCGCCTTTACTATTTACATGGCGTACGGATCGCGAATAAATACACCGAATGCTTAATCCTAGCCGTTTATACAGGGGGTGTCACTTTACACTTTTATTTTCTTCGTATTTATCTCTATATTTACACGCGGCGCACAGCCTGATTGGTTTCGCACGAGCGTCCGTTTGTGAATAAATAAGTTATTTTTTCCTAGTTCATCGCGTGTCCGCGCACTACACTTGCGTGGCGAAGGTCGGCGGTAAGCAGTGGTCGTCTAACACATACACCCCTCCGCCTTCGAGCGCCCGTTTCACTAACGACGTATCGCTGCAAAGAAAAGAGAAATAGGTTAGCCGGATTGATTTATGATTGTACAATTGGTTATGTCCGACGGAATATGTATATCGAACTCAATCAATAAGAATACTCGTTACCGATCCTGCACTTTTGTTCCTACATATTCGTCATACTGCTGACTCAATTCGAAGAGTAAAAACCAAAATTTTAGAGGTTTTGGAAACTCAAAATATCTTAACTTTACAAAAACTTCAAACATGTATCTTTAAGAAAACTCTAAATTCGAATGGTATACTATTATAAAGTAGTAATGATACTGACCTATTGGCACAATACGCCGAGTCTGACGAAAGCCTCGACAGTCTAGGGTCGAGGGCCGCCAGGAGCCGCGCGGCGCTCTCCGTGTTGAGAGTCTTCCGCTTGCACTCCTCCGCGGCGGCGTTGTGCGCGTTCTGGCACTCGGGCGCGGGCGCGTCGCACTTGCCCCACGTGTTGCGGATCACGCGCCCGCCGCCGCCTGCATTGGCCGCGTTCTGAGCGCGCGCCTCTGCATCCGCGGCGTTTTGCGCGCGTTTTCTCCGTCTCCTCACGCAGGCAACGCCCACCGCGGCCGCCAGCGCCAACGCCGGCACCGCCGCCGAAAGCGCCGCTATTAACGCCACGTGCTGCCCCGACAAACTCTCCTCCTCCACGTCCTCCCCCACCCGCCTCAAGTGACCCCCCGCCGGCTTCGACACGAAATCCGCCAGCAATACAGTACACGCTTTCCCGCCCCAACCCGCCGAGCAGTCGCAGTGGTAGCCGTCGACTCGGTCGCGGCACGTCCCCCCGTTCTGGCACGGCGAAGACGCGCACTCATCTATGTCGATGCTGCAGTCCTTCCCCTCGAAACCGGGCTGGCATCTACATTCGTAGTCGTTGTCGAGCACCAGGCATTTGCCCCCGTTTGCGCACGGCTTCGCCTTGCAAAAGTCGACGCGCGTCTCGCAGCGCGCGCCCACGAAGCCGGGTGCGCATTGGCATCGCCGGTCGTTCACCAGGTCGACGCAAGTCCCACCGTGCTCGCACACTACCCCTGCGCAGTCGTCGATGTCCACCTCGCATCGGTTGCCTTTAAAGCCGGGCTTGCAGGAGCATTTGTAGCTGTCGCCGGCGCGCGAGCAAGTCGCTCCGTTCCGGCAAGGGTTGCCCGCGCAAGGATCGGCTTCTAAAGCGCAATCGGTGCCGGCGAATCCAGGTGGACAAGTACACACGTAGCCCGATGGTCTAGTTTCACAAGTGCCTCCGTTGCGACATGGTTGATCAGCACAAGTAAGGATTCGTGTTTCACATTGCGCCCCATCGAATCCGGACGGGCAGGCGCAGACGAGTTCTTTGCCTTCTTGGACGCAAGCTCCTCCGTTCAGGCAAGGTCGCACGGCGCAGGAATGTAATGATTTTTCGCAATTGAGACCCGTATATTCTGGGGGGCAGACGCAGGTGTAGCTGCCTTGCCCGGTGTTGTGGCAAGTTCCGCCGTTTCTGCAGGGTCGGTGATTAGTGCAATAGTTCAGATCTTGGTTGCAAAAGAGCCCACCCCAGCCTTCGTCGCAATTGCAGTCCCAAGGTTTCGTGCAGGTGCCGTGGAAGCACCCCGGATGCCGCTGGCATTGGTCGCAGAGTTCGCCCACCCAGCCCGTATGACAACTGGAAACGAAAAAAAAGATATATAAGAAAAGGCTACGTGATAACTAGAGGCTAATAAGCTTCGTCTTTCTCTTCGTGCGGAACAATGTGCAGGATGAATGATTTAGACACAGGGAGGTAATGTTAAGCGTTTAGCACAAAAGTGTGAAGTGGGTACTCACATGCATTCGTCGGGCTTGAGGCAGTGGCCGTGCTCCGCGTCGCAGCCGGGCAGACACCTCGCTGCAACAAAAGAAAAGCCTTCGTTAGTACGTCACAAAAACATAACACTCTCACAGCGGGAATCAAGCACGGTACGCGAAGGATTTCTTCAATTTGAACGCAGGGGATGCAGACAATTAATCACGCGATGGAAAGTCAAAGCAATTCCATTAAAGTCGGCATATCCGTGCAGTTTCGTTGCAAAGGACACGACGAGTGTAACAAAGAGAGAGGTTCGTTAGCGTCCCATGCCCGGGGCGAGGTCGCGAGCTCCGACGATTTATTTCCAGTCCTACGATCCCACAACTACGCAATCTTATGTGAATACTGTATATTCACTAAGAAATTATTTTTATTGCTCATTGGTCATTTCCTAGTAATAAATCGGATCCCTGGGTATTCAAAAGAGGGATTTAAATTAAATTCATATTTGTGTATTTCAATACCGACTGGTGATGTATTAGAGACGTAATATGTGCGCGTCGTTACGTACGGAGCGAACTTTACCCGAATCTAAAGTTACAAAGCGAAATAAAAAGCGCGGTGCCCGTCGAGCAGGCAGCTTGCATTGCGCCAAAATGGGGATAGTGCGTTACTTGTAATAAAAGATAGGCAGTAATGTATTGCAAACGTTGGAAAGTGTTTCGAAATAAGAAGTCGTAACGCGAAGTCGTATCGGTCGGGTGCGCATGGGCAAGTTATCGGAGCGAATACAAAGGGGGCAGATAGCGCGGGGAGCCTAACCGTCACTCGACCGTTACTATTCCCCTAACTCGCTAGAAAAATACTAGACGCCATCTTGAAAGCGAATACTATTCCCAATGCAAATGTTGGGATTATTCGCGCGCAAAATTTAATAACGAAGCAATTTAAAGGAGGATTGCCAATGTATCTCGAATCTCGGTTTAACTCAGCCCAGCACAGAAAAGAGATTACCTTTCGCGCGTGTTCCCTAGATAGCAATATAGGTTTAAAGCCAGCCGAGCTAGCACAAAGCCCCCAAAACTAACTCAGGCATTCGCAAATCGGCTTAAGAGAGCGCTTTAAGCTGGATATTCTACTTGAGTCTTTCTCCGCTGTTAGCAATTTCGGTAAAGTAAAAGTTTTATTAATGGACCTATTTTAAGTTTATATCGTCAACTTTCTGTGTTTCCCGCTTGATTAGATATTGCATGACACGTGAATTATTATCAGATACAAAAATCTCAAAAGAATCAAATCTTAAGTCGCTTTTATAGGACGGTAATTACGGTTAGCCTTGGAAATATACAATGTATGTGGGCATTGTCATATTTGCCTATTCTTATCAATAAATATTTTTAAAATACCTCCTGTTTTGAGATTTGACCGTTCTTAATTAAGTTTTCTGTGTTACCAGAAATTGGATAAAACTCTAACGTGAAATATCACTGCAAATGCTGCACGCGTTTTAACTTTTAAGTCATCTTATGCATGATTGAACGTACAATAAAGGTTTATGAGATCCATAAAGTAAGAAGAATAGTGGCGCTCCGGCGGGTTTCAGACGTGAGATCAAAGCAGTTCAAGTGTCAGGCCTACTGTTTGGTGCACTAGAGTACGCTACCACTCGAGATTATCTTGACCCTTGAAAGGTAAGAACGGTAGTCGTAAAAATTACACTTTAACCTTAAGTGCGGCTTAAAAAAGCAGCGGGAGGATGTTTAACCGTCCTGCAGCTATTAATTATTATCGATGGGCACGAACAGTATCGATTTCTAATGAAAGGCTAGCGGGTGCCGCACTGCGACCAAGGCCTGTGAATCTCGACCTTTCTCGAGGCCAGGTATACGGTGGCAAAAAGCGACCTTCCCATAGGATGCCTTCCATGAGTTCCGGCAAACATTTAGGTAACTATATTTGCTTTTATATCGACTTCGAGAGCGTGTGGGATTCGCGACTCGACAGGAGGTAATATTCGTGAGAACTCTTTTAACTCTCGTTAATAATTAAGCGAAATTAAGCCGAGCCGTAAAGGGTTCTCCCACTCGGGTCGTTGTTTACCCTGTCATTAGGCAACCTGGACGCGGATAATACTGTTGGAGCATGCAAAATGAGTTCTTCTGGATTGTTAAGCTTTCCCAGAAGGCGATGTATACCGTTCGGCAGATGTGTGGCAAGTTTCGTGACACGGTCAAGTACAGAGTTTATTTCGATTGGTGTTCAGTTCTCGTTTAAAGGTGTTTTTGACCCGGTTCGCGGGCATGTGTTGCGCCCCGCTCTGTGTGTGTGCGCGCGCGAGCGTACAGCGTTGTTTTCATTTCATTATGGCCGCTTCTCTCGCTTTTACATTTTCGTAATCGCCGATACAAACTCCATTGATAGGGTTGGCGAGAATTTTATTAGCTTATAGATGCGTGTAACGTCGCTTATTTTATCCTTATGACGCTTTTGAGAATATGATTTTATAATAAAATTTTACACCTTTGTAAACGAGTCTTTACTCGGCGAAAGATTTTTCGTTTTTCGATGGGAACATTGGCTTTGTTTGTTTGCTTGTTTGAGAAAATTGTGATAGCTTTTTGATCCTGCGCTCATGGCGAAGGCAGCAGCCTTGCGGCCGCAGCCCTGGCGCGGGAGCAGGACGGCGCGCTACGCGTCGCGAGCGTGCGCTCTCTGTCTGTCGCGTTTTTTGCGGCGCCGGAGTGTGGGAACGCTGCGGCAGGTGGGGCTGCTGAGATTGCGACGCGACATCCGCTCAGCCACAATGCATCTTGAGACGCACCGCTTTGTTTTACAATACGAGACGCGATGTGTTTAACATATATCAGAAATCAAAACGTCCATCGTCGTTTGAAACGAATAGATGTCCTTTTTTTCCCCGTTTGCAAGAAAACTATCGGTTCGTTGTGTTAACACGAGATTTATGGTATGCTTAGACCGGTAATGCGCCGGAGACTATAGCTTTTGTTTACAATTGGAACGCATTCACGTAAGTATGTAACGCAAACAGAACCCGCGAGTGGGGCGGTCACACGCTCGGTGTGACTGACAGAATGACGGACAAGACAAAGATTTTTGTCATTTCTGAAGAAGCCTATTGGTATTTTGGAAATGTATTTTAAAACGCATCGTAGTTGCTTTTCCTTGTACTATAAAAAGTACGAAGTTGGTACATTTCTTTAAAGGCTCTTGGAATGTAGAAAGGATTACATGCTGGAATTTGGCATTGTGATATGTAATTGGGCATAAACGTAGAAACTTTTAATGTGCATGTATTTTATATTAAATATCGCGTCTACTTAGGAACTCGGTTGTTTTCTAGCAGCGTGATATAAAAAAAATAAATATAACGACTCATTCGGTTGGAGGTCGGACGATGCTCACAGGAAGTAGATATAACCTGATAAATTTATACGAATAGGTTATTACACGGGTTATGGAATAATATAAAAATGGTTGAACTAATTAAAAGGACGATTTATGACCACAGATGCTAGCTGATATTAAAATCATTACCGTAGTCTTGCATTAAAGTGACCAATTTAAGTTAGAACCTACGCTGTGGAATTTTAATCATGCCATTAATAATACTGTAAACTTTTTATTATTTAAGTTCTTATGAAAAAGTAGTCGAATTATAATTGCGAACCTGACACAACAGTAAGTAACCCAATTAATGAGCTTGTCAAAAAAAAGTACAAAATTCCCAAGCCTCAGTTCCGTTTCAATTATTTTTATGAGAGGATGCCGGCTAAAAATTGCCATAGTGTCCGTGTTAATGAGGAAGAATGAATTGGGGGCCGTAAAAATTTAGGATATAATTGAACACCTAGGTGCAAAGTATTTAACTAGTTCAAAAAATTAATTTAAAAGTATAAAGAGATTATCTTTGAAATATTTTTTTTTTAACTTACTTACTCGGGAAGTATTTTGCATCAAGGACTTCGTATACTAGCGCAGAAAAGGTTCGAATACTCGCCGATTAGTTTAATTTTAAGTTGAAGATAGTATAGAGTGGCACGTAACCACTTTCACGTATAAAGGTCAGGGCTTCTTAACTGTAAAAATATTGATGCAACGCGCGGACACTCTTAGGTTCTGATTCAGGTTTGAAGTGCTTTAGAAATGTTGACAGAAAAACACTCGTAACCTCTCTAGGAGAGTCTCTTAATCCAGGCAAAATAAAACTTTTTTGTGCGTCGTTTCAATGACACTTTTTAAAGATTGAAGAAATAAACATACAAATTTCTTAATAGAATCGAAAGAGTTAATCACATCTGTATTTATTCTTTTTACTTATCTTTTGCGCAGATCAAGAATCCATATTCCACAATTGGCATTACTTGGTTTCAATTATGTAAAAAGCAATATATTGACATCTAATCGGCAGTACTTAACTACACTATCCGATGAATTTAAAGATTCTAACTATGATGTCGCTAAAGTTTTCTAATCTTTCTTGCTTTAAATTTTTTCTTTTGTTACAACGATTTTAGGATTGGAATCCTTAAAGATGCAACGCTTTATGTAATACTAAATCTACATAAAGATACAAAGGTTAACAAAACAGGTTTCACCTTCATCATAAAAATTATGCAAGAGTAAAAGATGACTTTATTGTATCATTATCAGCCTATTAATGTCCCCACTGTTGGGGCATAGGCCTTCTCTATGAACGTAATAGGCAGATTGGGCCGTGACCCACCATGCGGGCCCAGTGCGGATTAGTGGGAACTAACAACTGCAAATACAGCCGAGACCAATGGCTTAACGTGCCTTCCGAAGCACGGAGGAGCTCGGGATAGTAACCGACCACTACGACTGCTGCTTGACTTCAACGAACGCGTTAACCATTTGCGCCACCGAGGTCCTCCTTTCTTGTAAAGAGGTTGAGAAGTTTTAACTTACGTTTCGAGCAGTAATCCCCAGTCCAGCCGGGCTTGCAGACGATTTCGCCAGACGGGGAGCAGGTGTAGTGACCGAAGGCGTCGTCCCGCGGCCTGCACAGCACCTCGCAGCCGGCTCCGTAGTAGTGCGCCGCGCAGGTCACCCGGTACGACAGCCTCAAGTGGGCTTCACCAGGACCACCCCACCGCTGCTCCTCTTCAACCCAAGGCCCTCCGACGTCGGCTATGCTCTGCTTAGTCATCCGCGCGATTAGTGTGTCTGAAAGGGAATGTTATTCATTATAAGAAACTTAACGAATAGACTGTTAGACACAATACCCTCCTGCAGCGCGTTGCATTGCGCGGTCGGGTAAAAACAACACTGATAATGTGTAATTAATAATAATTATTGTTAAAAAAAAAAGTGACAATTTTTTCTTTTAATATTGAATATGTATTTGATATCTTTTTGGTTGTCTAATATGGTTATGAAAAGTAAAATAAAGATGAATCGATGATGAAAAAGTCTTTGGTTCGCAGGTCTTCATTATTTATTTACTCTAAATAAGTATATAGAGTATTTTATTTATATATACATAAGTTGTATCATACATATCACAGTAAATGTCCTTTGCTTAAACTTTGACTCCATTTCTTATAAATGAATAATAAGCATGGATTAACTAATCCTTGAGTAGTTTTAAGTTATTATATAAATAATAAACATAGTTAGACTTGTTGATTTATATAAGCAATAACTTAAAACTACTGAATTCCTATGCTTTGGTATCTAAAGTGGATAAAATATACTTATAACATTATCTTAATTTTTTTGGTTTTCTTTTATTGTTCCCCCGGTGCTCTGAGTGAGCGAAGAGAGGGCAGTAGAGGGGAATTTAACATCACATGTACTGAAAAACAAATGGCATTTGAGTGATATGGTATAAAACAAAACGCGGCGTAACTAGTCTAACCTTATTCCTCGTTTATTGAAACGGTCAAAGAGTTTCCAAACTTCCAGAATAAAAAAAGGCGAACACACTTTCTACATCGAAGACAGCAGAAGTCTTGTAAATTATTCCGCTAATGCATTTCGCTGTAGCAACATCCCGATGTTATCATTTACAGGTCAGACAGTACAGAACTCGTTAAGAATCCGAAGGATACATACCTAATGGCGCAATTAATCTGATCATAATCTGAGGAAAATCAAATATTTGTTTATCATCGTGGGAAAGGGTTACAGAAGTAAATTGACCTGTTAATGTCGACCGTTTGACGCCCGCATTCGACCGTGAGATCTCATTGTTCCCAAGCGTGATTCACTGTTTTGATTCGACTGAGGCGCCCGTTGTGTGATTGATTAATAGTTTTAACTACATTCTTTATGCAACTTGACTGTTTGTAAACTAGACTAGTGCAGGAAACTTAGATGGTCGGCAAGGAATCGCAAGCGACGGCTAGGATGTAACGATGACATACCGTTGCGTAAAAAGCCCTCGACGACTATTAAAACTACTCGCGATGATTTAAAAAAACTGCCACTCCATTCATCAAAGCGATGTAAGTGGCGAGTCGAAGGCACGCTGAGAAATCTCAGCCCGACCAGTTCCTACCTTTATTTATTTCTCGTCGTGTATGCCCGCTTTTTACTCTTATTGCCCCGATGGTACATTCCTAAGCCGGTAATCCCGACAGCAGATAAAATTAAACCAGACGCGAAACAAAATTAAAAGGTATATAAAAACGATCGATCCCTACTAATTTCGTGGCGTATGGTATTCGATATATATACACGATTGTCTTTTGTTTTGTTTTGGTGAAGGGGAATAGGGTGCGCGCTAATGAGATAGAACTCGACTTTATATCCGATAGTTCCTTTCTTTATTGTATACAAATACGATAATCTGTAAAACTTCATAGATAATCGTGAGACAACGGAGTGGTAAACTAGTTATTTCGAACGTTGGTAAAGCCAACAAGACTACAACTTATACTGACTGAACTGTCAAAATTTCTGCAGTTGATTTTCAAACTTAACGTCTGTGTCGTAAAGTTTAAATTGACTGAGGCATTTCGACGCATGCCGTAGCTCAAAATGGTATGGACTGTACTTTGCTGTACCGTACTTACATAGATGTTGCTGCGTTGTGTGGCGGACACAACTGATGAAGGACGTCCCGAGATTATTATCGCTACTTTCATAATACATTTCAAAATATCCCCTCGTACTGTCGTACTGTTCTGTTTAAAGAGAACTCTATTGCTTTTTATTTCAAACGACGTCTCCTGATTTGGATCACGCCGCGGCGGTGAGACCCAAAAGTAAAACTCAACTCTTTATATGGATGCAAATAACAAATTGACATCTACAGAGATAAATTGCCTGACAGATTAATGATCGTAAAATACCAATTAAGATTGCTCATTGCGGAAAAAGGGAGACAGTTACTCGAGTCTCGATTTTTATGTCAAAAATTTTAAAACCTGTATCACCATTCGACTCAACGTGAAGTGAAACGACTTTGTGAGATAAAATTTATTGATAGAAAAGTGTTTTTAATGAGCTTTTGATCTACAATAATGCATTTCTTTTAAAGCGAACACTGAAATTAAACGAGGGGTTTGGGGAAAGGAAAGGAAGGTTATTAAAGTCAAGTGTATAGTTCTGAGGGAATTAGAAAAATGACGTGTGGGAACCGAGAGCGGCGTGCAATTTGCCACGAATGTGCACCGGGAATTATGGCAACCTGCGCGGCTGCCGACCCGGCAGGGTTGCCAGCTAATAGAACATTCACGACGCCATTAATCACATGCATCGAGTTATTCAAAAAGCTTCCCAACGATGATGATCCGGCGAAACAATGAGGGATATTACCATTCGGTAAGCGTAAATAAACGTCCTTGTATTGTTTCTTAAAGTATTTCCGCCATTATGATTGACAACCCGATGCAACAATTGGAAAATACACTGAACGAGTTGAGTTTTTTTATCCTATTCCCAGTAGAACGCTCCAATCTGCGTCCCCGCGGCACGACGAAACAACCGCTCAAATTACACCCATCATCCTAATTCCGAGCCGTAACGATATTAAATGAAGGTGTACCCGACTATCGCGTCTATTAATGTAATTCCGATTCACAAATAAATAACACATTTAAAGAAGGACGAGGCTGTTAGTTCGCGTACGTGCCGCGCCACGTAGGAAACGTGTTATTACGAGCGCAGAGGTCAACAAATAAAATGAAAATGTAATACTCAAACGGCGATAAACAAAAAACAAAAGAAAGCGAAATAACCAATAATTTGAGCCGCTGCTATCGGAGGCGGACGCGGCCGATTTGGGATGTTCGAAACGCGATTTTGGGGAAACGCGGGGGATGCGATCACGCGATACAGCTTCCGCCGCTATGATCGATCGATCGATAATAAGGCCACCGGATGATGGACTCTAATTCATTATGCCGCGGATTGACATCGTCTAGCTATCGCCCAAACTGGATCGGCGATGGTGTAATTAGTCGGCGGTGGGCGTTCAACGAAATCGAAATCGGTGACGTGACGCGTAGTTCTGCGCGAAGGTTCGACGACTTCGCAGCTGAGGCCCGCATCATTAACGTTGTCTCGATTTCCACTTCTCGATTCGGACACCTGCTCGGCCGGTCGCCGGGCTCCGGCCGCCGGCGGCGTTGTGGGAAACGGTCGAATCATCAATGGACTGAGTACCTAAACTCAGTGTCAGAACTTTTGTTTATAAAACTGTCCACTTCTAACGTTTGACGAGACAATCCGAGAGAGTTCTCCGTTGGCTCTCGGACTAGATAAATAACTCATCCACTCGTCATTCGAGTGCCTTGATAGTTCGAGAGGATTAATTTGAGAACTGACAAATGATTGCGAGTTTATTTAAAGAATAAAGATTTCGCATAATGCGTTTCGAGATCGCGCCTCTTTAAATTCACTATTGTTTTGTAAGAAAACGGGCATTTTCGTTCCGGACAGAGAATCCGATGAATGCGGAGGATTGTGCAACGGAGTCGTTACATTTTCAGACGGCTGACGTGGTGCGTTTAACCTTTGAGAAAGCCAATTAAGAACGTAAGTAATCATAAAGAGACGCGAGAGAGCTCTGGGAACGCTGGAGATAGGAACGGCTACAGCGTAATGAATTGACTAATAATGCACGGCCGGATAGCGAGATAAGCAGCCGTCACAACATAACTGTATCGATAATCGCATCTCGGTCGTGTAATGTCAGCCGGCGAGCGGTAGCAGAGCCCGGGGCGCACACTGGCCCACGCGCCGACAGCCACCAATCTTACCGATACTTTTCACACGCTACTCACAAATTTGGCCGTGCCCATAACACTAGCCGAGTCAGCCGAGCGCACCCGAGGACAGTGGAAGTGAGCCAACCTTTTATCCAGACATGTGCATCACATCTGTCGGCGACGCTTCCTGAGAGCGCCACGTATTCATAAATTGAGCCTTCCGGGACGTCTTCCGCGCTTTTTATCCAGTTCAAGCCCTACGACGACGAAAGATGAAGTGTAAACTAAAGCTAACTTCCCTCGGAGCTATGTTTTTTAGTGTCGGGTAAACAATACCGGGCCGTTAGCGCGGACCAGGTGCGGCCTTGCTCGCCTCGGGCTCCACACAAAAGATTTCGGTGAAGGAACGGGCGACAACATCAGGATCGGCCCGCTACTATTGTTGTGTTGTTTAGCAAGAGAATTTCTTTATTCGTCTCTACCCAGCAGCCTATTCTTCGGGCATGTTTATCTATATGATAAATGGGATGATTTACTCATGTTCATTTCTCAAGTCTTAGGTGAATGAAACATTCAAAGACTTTTGGGTCGCCCTGATCGATCGGTTTGTGCAATGCACCAAGTATAACTACAGCTGTTTCGATATTAGATAAAAAAAATGAATGTAATTTAATTAAGCATTAGCCCAGTGAGTCGATGCTGAGTGAACACAAACGGGCGTTCGTGTAACCTGTTATTAAGGTTGATTAGATTTCTGTTGGTAACGTTTCTCGGTAGTCGCTCCCGCTCTCGTATTAAAAATATACCCGCCCTCTGAGCTATCCACTTCGGACGCTAATGATTTTCGGTAAACCGGCCCGTAGACACACCTCGTCGTATCTCTAAATCTGTTTCAAGTAAATCACCGGGCCTTTTTTGTTATTCGGTCAGGAGTAGTAATTATGTCGGTCAGAGTGCAGCGGGATGAGAATCTAATTAAGAAATGGGCGTCGCCGGTCACTATTCGCTGTTTTAATAATACTTTTTTTTTCAAATCTAATTTGGTAATTTCTAATCCTTCGATGTTCAAAAATTCGGGCCGTGCGTTTCTTGTGGAACGGAGTTATGTAGGTATGTTGCACGAAGCGAATTATCATGATGATGTATTTACGAGCGGGTCGGGTACAATTCATTCGGAATTGTTTTTTCGGTCACGCTATGTCGCATGAACGCGGTAAACGGCTGTCGATTCGTTATTAGGCGTTTTAGACTGCGCGCGATATCGTCAAAACAAAATGAGCCTAACTTCCAATCGATTGTTTCAATGATAAAGATCTCGAAATTAGTCTTACACATGGCATCAACAATTAGTTGTTTTTGAGGAGTCGCGTTTGAGAACGCAACACAACACGTAGCAAAAAAAAGGAATTGGCCAGGTTTTTTTTCGTCGGTTGCGCTCATAGTGCGTCGTCTAGGCACCGGTCAATGGCCAACTGAATACATTAGAACATTTCTACAAAATTTTCGTCCTACAGAAGGCTGAGTTTATTAGAATACTGTGCGCATTGCGAAGCGAATCACGCGCGTCGCGCCGTGCTCTGAACACCAATCGTCCACACCATGGGAACATTTTTGTCTTCCACGATATGATAATATGAGCATTCAAATATACATACTGTCCGTTAAATGCACGATAAACACCCAGAATTACAGTGAAACCTGAATGCGAGTGAGTCGTGAGCGACGTGATATGAATTTTCCAAACTGCTACGATTTTCATAGCCCTTTTTATCGTAATTCTATTATTAGGAAGAAGAGGACACTCACCATCTGATCTCGACGTTTCGTTCGTATCGTGCCACGCTTCGACTATGAGCGAGAATGTGCCCTGAAAAGAAAAAAAAATCAAGTTAAACCCGTTTCACGAACAAGATATAAATGCGAATCTTATCAAATAACAAACATAAATACTCAAAGTAAAAATTTGATAGCGGCTTAACCTAATAAGAAAAAGTTTGAGTTCGTGCGATAACGAAAGTAGAATTAATGATCTATTCGTCTATTGTCGCTTTGTAATTCCGGTGCCGACGATACGTTACGTTATTGACAATTTAATTGGAACATACACGTATGTTCCAATGAATGAAGCTCACGAGCTTAGCAGACTTTGTAAGCACGCCAGTTTAGTTCGAAGCGGTTGATAATTATAAAATATCACAAAAATTAAACCTCAATACAGGAGGCAGTTGTTGGACATTACAAATATTTCCTTTAGTTTATGACATAGTTGTAGTTGGCCGGTATGCCGGACGGGCGTAAATTAACAACATGATAGACAGGTGAAGCAGACAGCAGATGGCAACGGAATTGTTTCAATATCAGTCTAAAAATACACAAGTGAGACCAAGACGAGCGCACTTTAGCGCCCAATATGGATGCATGTAATGGTTGCGTGCCTTTATAAAAAAACAGGAACGCGCACATATCAGATAGTAAGATATTGACATTTGTCTGTTTACATAAGGAGGCGAAACGGCAGTCGAAAATCGATAATATTGATATTGGGGTGATAAGCCGAGAGCAAACACCTTCTAGGCGCCTGCTATCGATGCTTTTATTGCTCGGACGCAACGCGAAATTGGTCATTAAGCCTTTGTAAGGGTAAATGTATTATGAAAATGTTCGCGGCGCAGGAACCGGTCGCCTCCTACCATAAAACTGATCCCACGGAGTTGCGATTCGTCGGAAACGGGCGCGATTCACGACCTTTAGATTTGTAATCGGAGTTTAATTGCTCGTTCCCTCAATGTTAAGAAACAAAAGGAGAAACAATTGCAACCGAGTGAGCGAGCGTGCATGGAGTCGTCGAATCGTTCGAGTCGAATCTGCTTTTGAGTGGTTGTAATTGCAGCGGGCACGTCACGGGTAGCCGGCCGGTGCAGCTGCTCGGCCGGCCGGCGGATGTGAAGGGTCACCCGGTATTAATTTGATCACTCCACTCTCTTAAGAAGTGATTCAGTCAGTTTTCCCTGACAGATGTCCCCTCGTTGTCAATTAAGAACTTGATGAATGAAAACATCATTTGCATGCGCGAACAATAAAGCCTTTATTTGCATGGGAATATCAGCCGCTTCCCTACGAACAATGATTATTGTCAATACGAGAAATCATTTTCTCAACGTACGATATCGGCAAACGATAAATAGAAGAAGGTTTTTTCTCTCACTTCTTCTCGACGCCTCCATTAAAGCAGCAGATACTATGTGGTATGGTAGTTTTGACGAATTTATAATAAGGTTTCGTTAAATAAGTCGACGGTACAAGCGGACGGACGTGTTATCGCTCGATTCTGAATACTAAACAGGTCGAGGCGTGCGATCGAGCGAACCCGAGCCTTGCAACAGTCCCGTATCGCCGAGTCGAGTTCGTAAACGATTCATCGTTTTATCGTAAACCCTATAAGGTGTAAATAAGGAGCAGAGGACGGTAGTCAAAATATTTTATTATGATTTGTGTAGCGGCGATGATCAAATATGGAGAGCCGTAGTATACGGCGTAGGTATTGATTTGTTAATCGAGTATGGAGAGCGCATTTCGGTCAGCTGTGGCCGGTCGTAAGTATATGCCGGTTCCCACGACAGTGACTCTCGACCGACGCAGCCCATAAAAAGCGGTCGACGTAAGCGTACGTGTGCAGGTAGCCTTTATAGACGCGTCGAGTTGGCGATACCGTATACTTACACGTCGAGCTGCATAGACCTGCTCCGCTAGAACTGGCCGGTAATTAAGGAAACTTATTCGCCGTGTCTAACTTTTATTTTTGTGATCGATCACAATCGATGCAGTGCGTTCCATTATTTTCGAATTTGAGCTTCGGCTATCGTAATTGCCGTTCCAAATTAAAATCTTTTATCTTTTTTTTTTCTCCAAACACGTTATTATGAACGATGTGAGATACAATGCGAGATGGAGGCGTATCGCGAGCGATGCGTCGAATCTTTCCCTGTATGTGATGCGTTAAATTGTATTAAAGACTTAAACGAACCAATAGAATGGTATCGTGCGGTCTGAATGCTGGGGAATTATTTGATAATCGTTTTATGAGGGTGCCTAAAGAGGCTACTTCCATATCGGAGCCTGTTGCCGAGCTTGTTTCGTTATTAATTAAAGATCCCAAAGTAAGGATCCGTGGGAAAGGTCCCGTGTTTTGTGAGTCTCGTTTGCAAGCGCCATGTGTTTGGGATTTACAAGGCTAACGACAAAAGGAGTATAATCTCGGTATCTGATACTTTTGTTTGAAAGTTTGGACACGTGTTTCGGTCATCTTTGTTTGGTTGTTTAGAAATAGCAACAGATGGTGTCTGAGGTCCGTTCAGTTTTTGTTATCCTTTATAGAGAACAATAAATGATTGTAACAAACAAAAAACTGTCGCAAGTAGAAACCACTATGGTTATTTCATTGTACACGGTAACGATCAGAGAGAAGAAAAATTATAAGAAAAAATGGAACAAGGTCGAAGACGACGCCTCCACAATATTATTCGGTCAATACTTTCGGTGGTAATAACGAAAGTATTTTCTATAAAAATTGTGACACAAAAAAGGTTCTAACACAGTACAGTGTTTCGACACGAGAAATCATTTGGTATACAAACACCTGAGCGAGAGGAGGAATCGTGATTTCATATTTCACACTTCGCCAGTGTCGGTAACGACGGAGACTTGGTCATTTTATCTTTTTTTTATACAACTTAAAAAAGCTGGGTTTTCCAGCAGGTAATGAGAGGAAAAACGATTGTTATAACGAGAACATTAAGCATTCAAAGTCGCGTCAAATGGCACATTACCAAAGGAGTACCATCAAATTAAAAATAATTATGTAAATCCAACGTCTGGCAGATAACGCGAGTGTTTTGTTATTAAAAGTGTTCCGAGCGCATTTAATTCAAGATTATTAATGCTTTTAATTAAGTTTATCTCCTTCTATTTTGGCATTTCTTATTGGCCGGTGCGTTGACCCATGAATCATACGAAAACCAGAATACCACTTTGTTATAAAAACATTGACATATGTTGGTACCTGAGTGAATATTATTATATGTATTACCAACCTCTTCTAGAGCTTATTAATTCTGTTGCTAATCGGAATGTTAGTTGAAGAATATAATCTCTAAGTGGTATTGATAAATTGCCCAGAGATATCGTGTGAATCGAGTACTTCCTGTAAAATCTTGTATATAAAAATATTCGGGTCGACTATTTATTGGTCGCCGGCACAGTCCACTGGGCTGAATGCTAAGCAGTTGCAGCCGCCTTGCTACTTATTATACTGGTAGATATCGTGGATGCTACGAAAGGAGGTTAGACTTGTCTCTGCCGTGTTTTGAATATGGTTGGTTAATAGTATACATAATTATATTACGCATTCGGATACATACACACAAATACATTCGCACACGCCGGTCTTACAATACCTTCGCGCGCTGTCCTCATTATTGCCATAGATAATCCTTTGTTTACATCCTTTATTAAAAAGTCCTTTAAATTAGGACTAAAAGTTATTAGTTAGGAGCTCGATGGCACAGGAGGATGGCGCATTCGGTTTGCGGTCGTGGCAGTTAAGCAACTTTCGCAATGGTCAGTCATTGGATGGGTGACCAAAAATTTATTATCTTGAGCTCAAAGGAGCTATATAAATTATAGCACAAAGGTGCTTCGTGAGGCATGTTAAGCCGTTGATCCCGGCTGCGTCTGCAGTCTTTAGCACCCACCAATCCGAACTGGGCCCGCGTGGTGGGACATGGCCCATTCTCCCTATTCGCTCCATAGAAAAGGGCTATGCCGCAGCAGTGGGAACAGTAATAAGCTGATGATGATGAAATTTATTCTGTCTTTAAATCATCACTTATCATATTAAGTATTAAGAGTTTTGGACGTGATCCAACTTAAACAAAAAAAAGGCATGAAGATTTATTGTTACACTTCAGATTTATGGAGCTTCAACATAGCCATAGTTATTATTACATTAATCAAAGACATAATTACAGTTAAAAATTACTTATAATGTTTATATTTTAAGTGTTTCGTATAAAGTTAAAATTTCTTGGCACTTTTACGACTCATTTTATGCGTTTAAGAGGTTGAAACGATATAATCGTTATTATTGATCTCTTGAGGGCATTTAATTGTTTAATGGCTTATTTATGAATCACCGAGAGCATAATAAAGTTTGATTAACCACCACTGTCAAACTCTTTCACACGCCAATCATAAAAAGTACGACCATTTTATCGAAGAAAATAACACTCGACAAGTAAACATTTAAAATTTTAAAGTTTTTCAACTCACACACAGTCGCATTACCGGGATATATTAAAAAGTAAAAACTATATGTATACCTACGTATTTTATTTATGTAACGATAATTTTACAAAACGCAGCTAGGAAACATTAAAAACAGACGTAACCATGTTTTTTTCGCCGCAAACGACCAGTGCGGTATAAGATACACGAAATAAGTTAAGACACTAACAATTTATTGCCCTCAATTACAATCATCTCTAAAAAAGCAACATCAACTTGAGAATTCGGGACTTTTAAATCGGAGCCGAAGTGAAAAACTAAAAGGCTTCCTTTAATTTCACAAGGCATCGGCGGCATTCGGAGACGGGACCCCGACGTAACTGGAATCCCGACAATTCCAAAAATGAAAATGTCGACCATAAACAACGGAACGATTTGAATGAAAAATATAAGAATAAAAAATAAATAAACAACTACAAATTTTGTGGGACGTTTGCGCCGGCCTCTATGGTAGATCTGATAACGCGTATGAGAAGGGTAAAGCGTTGAAACCGAAACCGCACTAAAAAATAAACAATCTCGTGA